TGGGCAATGAGTTTCGATGTACTGGGGGTATCTGCTTTTATAGAAGCTTTCATTTTCTTGCTTATCCTAATTCTTGGTTTAGTTTATGCATGGCGAAAGGGAGCATTGGAATGGTCTTAGTTCGTTTCCTGAATACTTGTAAAAAAAAAAAAAAAGTAAAAAAAAAACCATTGAAACAATTATGAATTCCATTAAGTTTCCCGTACTTGATCGAACAACAAAAAATTCAGTTATTTCAACTACGTTAAATGATCTTTCAAATTGGTCAAGACTTTCCAGCCTATGGCCGCTTCTTTATGGTACCAGTTGTTGTTTCATTGAATTTGCCTCATTAATAGGCTCCCGATTTGACTTTGATCGTTATGGGCTAGTACCAAGATCGAGTCCTAGACAGGCGGACCTTATTTTAACAGCAGGTACAGTAACAATGAAAATGGCTCCTTCCTTAGTGAGATTATATGAACAAATGCCTGAACCAAAGTATGTTATTGCTATGGGAGCCTGTACAATTACAGGGGGGATGTTCAGTACCGATTCTTATAGTACTGTTCGAGGAGTTGATAAGCTAATTCCTGTAGATGTCTATTTGCCGGGCTGTCCACCTAAACCAGAGGCTGTTATAGACGCTATAACAAAGCTTCGTAAGAAAATAGCTAGAGAAATTTATAAGGATCGAATTAGACCTCAACAGGGTAATCGGTGTTTTACTACCAATCACAAGTTTTTTGTTGTACGCAGTACGCATGCTGGAAATTATGATCAAGAATTGCTCTATCCACCATCATCTACTTCAGAGATCTCTACTGAAACATTTTTTAAATACAAAAGTCCAGTATCTCCCCACGAATTTGTGAATTAGGGAGGATTTTAGAGAATAAGAAAAAAATCTTCATAAATTAGAACTAATGTGAAATACTTATTTTATATAAAAAGGGTGTGGGGGAAATAAAAAAAATGCAGGGCACTTTGTCCGTTTGGCTAGCCAAACGAGGGCTAGTTCATAGATCGTTGGGCTTCGATTACCAAGGAATAGAGACTTTACAAATAAAGCCCGAAGATTGGCATTCTATTGCTGTAATTTTATATGTATATGGTTACAATTATTTACGTTCGCAATGTGCCTACGATGTGGCACCAGGTGGCCTCTTAGCCAGTGTGTATCATCTTACGAGAATAGAATATGGTGTCAATCAAGCGGAAGAAGTCTGTATAAAAGTATTTACTCACAGGAGTAATCCTAGAATTCCATCTGTTTTCTGGGTTTGGAAAAGTACGGATTTTCAAGAACGGGAATCTTATGATATGTTAGGAATCACATATGATAGCCATCCACGACTGAAACGGATCTTAATGCCCGAAAGTTGGATAGGGTGGCCTTTACGTAAGGATTATATTGCCCCCAATTTTTATGAAATACAAGATGCTTATTGAATGATAAAAAACGAGTCTTAGCTTCTATAACTGCGGACCTTCACGGAATATTTTGAATTCGATTCTTTTTAGATCAAACAAACAGAAAAATTGAGATCTCATTCATATTATTATAGATAGCTTGATCTCCAAGTTCAAAGATACTTTTTTTTTCGTAAAAGCCGAGCCAATAGGATGAACTAAAAAAAAAAAGAGTTCTGCATTATGAACTTTGTATCGCGCACATAACTTAGTCACATAACTGGGAATGAATAAATAAGATCGGAAATCTATAAATGAGGGGGGGGTACAATTTCTATTGTATCTAATGAATCTTGGGGTATTTCTGCCCTTCAACTATAGATCCTTTTTTTACTTGTTTGATTCTTTCAAACAGAACTCAGTTAACCTTTCCTTTCGAATATGTAGTATGTATAAAGTATTATACATTTTTTTTGAACGGATGGATCCACAACATGAACAAAAAAAGCGAGGGGGATAAAGGATGATTGCACCCTTTTTACTAAGGATACGTTTAATTTGCAGGATAGAAACTTATCAAAATTAATCAATCCAATCAATCCTATGCCAAGAACCAGATTTGAACTGGTGACACGAGGATTTTCAGTCCTCTGCTCTACCAACTGAGCTATCCCGGCGATTACCGAAGTATCATCCTCATTTTACTAGATGGCTTAGGTCTATGTCAATTAAAAGAAACGCAAAAAAAGTAGTAAATGAAAAAAGTGTTGGACCGGGAATTTCTTGGATCCGCGAAAAGAAGACTTTCTAAGTTTTAAAATGAAAAATGATATAGATTCTAAATAATTCAAATCGATATTTCTTGTTCATTTGTACGTGGATGATATATCCCACAAGACTTGTATATAATATAATAAGAAAAGAAATTTTAGTTTGTAAAAGCGTAGGATGAATGAAAAAAGATAATGAATTTTTGAATAACTAAAAAAAAGCTAAGGTGTCAGCGGGGGAGTGGGGATAGAGGGACTTGAACCCTCACGATTTTAAAAGTCAACGGATTTTCATCTTACTATAAATTTCATTGTTGTCAGTATTGACATGTAGAATGGGACTCTATCTTTATTCTCGTCCGATTAATAAGTTCCGCCAAGGATCTACCAGATTATGAAGTGAATCATTTGATCAACACAAGGTAGTGAACTCCATTTGAACTCCATTTGTTAGAACAGCTTCCATTGAGTCTCTGCACCTATCCCTTTTTCTCGCTTTTTAAACTCCGGTTTGTTCGCGTAAACCAGGATTTGGCTCAGGATTGCCCATTGTTAATTCCAGGGTTTCTCTGAATTTGAAAGTTATCACTTAGTAGGTTTCCATACCAAGGCTCAATCCAATTAAGTCCGTAGCGTCTACCAATTCCGCCATATCCCCTTTTTTGCTTTGAGATTAGGATCTCATTATGATGTCTTTCCACTTTGTCTTATGTCGAAACTTTTGAATTCATTACATATAGATACTTATTTCTTTGGTATCGTCTTTCTTTTTTTTTCGCCCCCATCCATATTGATTTAGTCTGATCAATAAAGATTCTATTATTTTTGTATTTGCAATTCAATATGGTTATATATTACATAACATATATATGTTCTTCCTTTTCTCATCTTTGTCTTAAATTTGAAGAAATAGTCGAACGGTCGATTCTTTTTTTTTTACTTCCACGAAAATAAATTTATGATTATTATTAAAACTTAGAATTCTACAATGTGCAATGGAAAAAGATTATAAACTAACTTCGTAGATTTGAAGTTCGAATAATTCTAAAAAATTCTATTCGAATAGTCATTTCGAATATTAATTCTAATAATTGTCTAATATTAGAAATAAAATCAAAAGACAAAAAGTATAAAATAATAATAGCATTGAGGTTAGAACAAAAAAAAAACAAGAATTTCAAATGAGATATCGTTTAACTAAAAAAAAAAAAAGATTTCTGATCTAATTAAGATTTTCTTATTTAGAAACTAATGAAATCAAAATGAGAAAGTCGATATATTGCTATATTCTATTAATTATAATTAATTAAGGTTATGTTTTATTGATTTACTGATAATTACTATTTATTTGAGCTATATTCTGTTCTAGAATATATAGAATATGATTAATTCTAAATAGATAAGGAAAAATATGAATAGAATAGTTAATTGATACGATCTAGTAGTTTAGTGAATTTGTATGCATGCGCTATTTTATTTGAGCCCGCTTAGCTCAGAGGTTAGAGCATCGCATTTGTAATGCGATGGTCATCGGTTCGATTCCGATAGCCGGCTTTTCCATATTTTTTCGTTTTTTTACATGATTTTTAATGTACTTTCAAAATCAAAGAAGATTGAAAAGACTTCTTTCACCTTTTTATAAGAGTTACCACGCCGTTTATATTATATCATATAAACTTTCATATAGGAATATATATTGGGTAAAAGGTTTCGATTTTTGCAAAATAAATCAAGAAAATAAAGGCAAATTTTTGTGATTTATTTTATTTCTATATATTGTATATACAATACAAAAAAATCTGTATATTGAGAGAATATATCTTCTGACTCTTTGTATTCCAAGAAACTGTTGGAGTGGATTTCACATCATTTATCATTATCATTTAGTTCAGTTTTAATTTTTTTTAGTTTTGTACAATTTCAATAAAAAAAGGAGTCTTTATGTCACGTTACCGAGGGCCTCGTTTTAAAAAAATACGCCGCCTGGGGGCTTTACCGGGACTAACTAGTAAAAGGCCTAGGGCAGGAAGCGATCTTCGAAACCAATCACGCTCCGGAAAAAAATTCGACTTTAACAAGATAAAGAGAGAATTAGGGTTCAAGACAGGGTTTTGCAATCAAAGGAATCTACACTTAATCAATCTAGCTCTTAAAACTCCTTGTATCAAGGCTTCTCTTGATATTGGGCTTCTCAATGCCTAGCCAACCCTTTCCCAAGGTGGAGGCTATCAACCAAGGAATGATCTCAGAAACAGGGGGTTAGCCAGTGAGAATCAAACCTTGGAGGCCATAGGATCATTGCCCAAACTAATCCATCCAACCCCTTAGACCTCTATTGTCTAGAGCAAGAGATATTGGAGCTCTTAGTGGATCTTTTCCAGCGAATGCCATCACTTTCGTGTGGGGAGTCGCCTAAGGACTTACAAGCCAGGGGTAGTGGTCATGTAGCCTTAAGATCTATCCAAAAGAGAGAGAATCTAGATTAAGACCATAAGCTAGAAGGATTAAGCATATGAAACCTCTAATCTATCCCATCTCAAACCCTAATGGGTAACTACTCACTACACATGAATGTAAACACAAGCAAATGCAATAAAAGAGACATCATAAGAAAGAGGAGATGAAATTAAACAACTTTTATTGAAATAAGCAAGTGCAAATACAAAGAGATTATCCAGGATCTAGATTCAAGAAGCAAGAGCTTCAAGAACACAAAGATGGATTAGATCTCTAAAAAGTAAAGACAATAAATTAAAAGAAACTAAAACAAAGTAATCTAAAGCTTGGTGGTTTTTTCGTGGCTTAGAGCCTTTAAATACAAGAGGATTAGGTTTAGGGTCAAAGGAAAGTCAAGGGGGAAGCAACATTTTTCGGGTTTGACTTTGACTCCCCAGCTCGATCGAGTTGAAGCTTGGCCGGTCGAGTTGAGGAACTCGACCGGTTGGTCGAGTGGACGGTCGAGCTGGTCTTCAAGATGGCTTCTCCCTTCTTCCTTTGCGTGTCCAGTTGAGCTGCTTCCATGTGCCAAGTCCCTCCATGCTCCTTATGTCCCATATGCTCCAGAATGCTCCAAAAGACCTATTTCAAAGGACCAAACATGCATATGTATGCAAATGCAACCTAAAACTAACATGAATGCATAAGAAGAGAAAAGGAACAAGATATGATGCAAATGGAAGCTAAAACTATGTAAAAGATGCATAAAAGATGTGCTAAAACTAAGTAAATTGCCTGCTTGCTTCCTTCACCTCTCAACATCTTAGATTGGTCCCTGAAATGCATCAAAATTCAAAGAATTAGAGTTGTAATGATCGGTTTGGTCAACTCGACACTCAGCTCGATCGAGTCAAAAAACTCGAGTGACAAACTCGATCGAGTTGGGTGAAAACAGAGTATAACCGAACCTAATTCAAGTATTAAGAGCTGGAAAGGATGCTAATCAATCAAATTGAACCAAGAACAACTAGTAAATGGAACAATGAGCAATTCTAGTGAAAACATAGCATCTTAACCATACCAAACTCAAATTCAATTTCAAGCACATGCAACAAGTTTAAAGGCAAAACAGAGGTGAGGTGAGGCAAACAACAAGATTATACAGAGGCGAAATATGAAAGCAATTCTCAAGAACAAGTCCACAAGGGACACATGCAATCAAAAATCAAGAGAAACAAGCAATAAAAGGAATCGAGATGGAGGTGAAGGGTTTTAGGGTTCATACCTTGTTGAATGATGGAATTGAAGAGCAGTAAACTAAAACCAAGCAAAACAAGAAGAGAACAATGAAATCGCAAAAACTTAGAGAGAGAGTTGAAATTCGATTTTTGTGGTGAAGAGAGAGATGGATGATTTCAGAAATTTAGAGTGTGGGAGAGAGGAGAGGGGTTCGATCGAGTTATGGGGAAGAGAGTGTTTGAGATGTGTGGTTGAGATTAAAAGATGAAATAAAGAGGGAACAAGAAGCTAGGGATTCTCTGATCAATTAGGGTAGTGGGGGACCAAAATCAGCTTGTGGGACCCACTCCCTTGACCAAGAAAACGGTTATGAATTTGAAATTCAAAAACTTACCTTGGTCGAGTTGAGGAACTCGATCGAGTTGCCCTGGTTTCTAGCTCGATCGAGCTGTCGGTCGAGCTGGCTCCTTGACACCTAAACTTAACTTATTGAAAGGTTAAAAACATAAAGATAGATAGAAATTGCATAAATAGAGTATGTACAAGGATAAACATGGGACTTCCTCCCAAGTGAGCTTGTTTAAGGTCCCATAGCTTGACCTTTACCTTCTTAGGCATTGGTTGAGCTAGTCCCACCATCAAGGGTGATAGTGAGGACTTGAGACAGAAGCTCCTTTAGCTTGGTTGGGTCCCTGGACTGTTCTGAAGTCACCAAGGCCTTGGCTCTAGAGAATGGCCTTGATCTCCCCTTGTACCTTATCTTGTACTCAATCTTCCCATTTTCAAACTTGGTGGGGAACAAAGTCATTGTGAGCTGAGATGGCTTGACTGAAGGGGCCTGAGCTGGTGGATCCTTTCTTTTATCTCCTGGTCTTGCCTTAGAGGCTGCATCCTCCCCTTCTTTTAGAGCCCTTCCTAGTGGCTCATCAAACAAAGCTTGAAGGCTCTCTTCATCAAGCACACAAGGGGCTTGAACAAGTCGCTCAGCTCTTGGCCTATCAGATCGTGGTTTCTCAACTCTAGCCCTCTCAAGACGTGGCTTCTCAATCCTTGGTCCTCTCTCATCCTTATCCTTCCCAACTCTTGGTTCCTTGTCAACCCTTTCCTTCACAACCTTTGTAGCTCCATGACTCTTAGAACTGAGATTGGTACTGTCAATTGTGGCACAAAAGTCTGAACCTCTAGGCTGCAAGCGATATGACACCAAACTATTCACCTTGTGAAGGATCACTTCTTGCTTGTGAAAGTCTATTGAAGCGCCAACTGTACTAAGGAAAGGGGTTCCCAATAACAAGGCAAATCCTTCTCTTCTTCCATTTCCATCACAGTGAGATCAGTTTGGATGATGCATTCTCCAATTTTCAAGTGATAGTTCTTGAACACTCCAAGAGGAGACTTAGAAGTTGCATCTCCAAACATGATTGAAGTAGTAGGGCGCTGCAAGGCTCCAGCTATGCCTAGCTTCTCTGCCATGGAGAGAGAGATCAGATTGATGCTTGCTCCAGAATCCACTAAGGCATTGTCAATCTCAAGATGCCCAAGTGTGCAAGGGAGAGTGAATTTCCCTTGATCCTTGACCTTTGGTAGGAAGGTGGGTGAAGTAAGCAGGTTGAACTGATGAGTAGACTCTTGTAGGACCTCTGAAACTTTATCACTGTTGGCTAGAACATCCTTGACCATTTGCATTTGATCAAATGCCTCACTCATGCTATCCATAGGAGGCAACTCAATTCCAATCCCACTGAGATCTCTTCTGAACTTGTGAATCACTTCCTTGTGACCTTGACTAAGTAGGCGAGACGAGGAAGCGGCAACCGGTTGATAAGGATCAAGCAAAACAGGCTTCGGACAGAAGAGGTCGGACTCGATCGAGCTAGAGTTGGACTCGATCGAGCTGCCGATCGAGCTTGTCGTGCGAGCTCAACTGGTGAAGTGTGAATGGCCACAGTAGGTGCATGCACTTCTGGTTGATCAATCTGGACTCCAGGAGCCTCAGCAGCAACAATCTCTTCATCATTCAGCAGTAAACAAAAATCTTCAATGACCCTTTCTTGATCCTCTTCTTCAACAAGTCCTTCTTGAGTGAAGATGACCTTGCACTGTTCCTTGGGGTTCTGAATAGCTTTACCAGGTAGTTGTCCTTGCTTTGTAGCAGCAGCAACAGAAGAAGCATGATTCTCCAGAGAGTAAACCCTTGTGTTGAGGTTCTCGATCTTAGAGTTTATTTCAGCTAGCTTCTTGCTTGTGTCCACTACCCCATCAGCTTGCCCTTGAAGTAGTTGCTTTAGCATTGCCTTGAGCTCATTCTCTTGTGAAGGTGCAGGCTGGGGCGGTTGGTGGGGGAAGCCTGGTGGGATATTCATTTGTTGTCCAGGGAAAGTGCCTTGTGGTCCTTGGTAATTGTTCTTTTGACCATACCCATGTTGTGGCACCTGACTCGATCGAGCTGCTTGTTGTTGAGGATAGACTTGGTCCTGAGGGTTAGCAACATCAGTGTTGCGGTATGACATGGCAGGGTTGGACTTGTAATTATAGTATCCTTTGTTGTAACCTCCTTGCCCATTGCTCATGTAGCACACCTCAGCAAATTGTGTATCCTCCCCTTCTTGGACTGGTTCCATCTCCTCAGCAGACACAAAGTTGACTTTCTTCATTGTGGACTGAGCTAGGATCAGCTTATCCAACTTCTCATTCAATGCCTTAACATCTTTTCTCAACTTTTCGTCTGACTCGATCGAGTGGTGGGTCGAGCTCCGGTTGGTGCGATCATACTCTTCTCCATAGCTTCCATTTGAGTTAGCTATGTTCTCCACAAGTTGCCAGCCATCATCTACATCCTGGTTGAGGAAGTTCCCATTGCTAGCTGTGTCTAGCATCTCCCTATACCTAGGCAAGCATCCTCTATAAAGAGTGGAGAGTAGTGATTCATTGTTGAATCCATGGTGTGGGCACTGACTTGTGTAGCCTTTGAACCTCTCCCAAGCCTCTGCGAATGTCTCATTGTTTCGCTGGATGAAGCTGGATATCTCTCCTCTAAGCTTGGCTGTGCGACCGGTGGAGAAAAATTTAGCAAGAAAGGCCTTCTTGCATTCATCCCAAGTGGTGATTGTGCCATGGGGCAAGCTCTTCTCCCATTGGTGAGCTTTGTCAGCTAGAGACATAGGAAAGAGTCTCAGCTTGATGGCATCTTCAGAGACACCATTGATCTTTGTCAAATCACAAAGCCTATCAAACTCATCAAGGTGGTCAATGGGGTCTTCACTTGGCAATCCATGGAACATCTTGTTCTGGACAAGGTTGATCATTCCCAGCTTGATCTCAAAGTTGTGGTTCTGCACTGGTGGTGGAACAATCCCTTGTCTCTGTTGGTGGCGGTTTGGAGCATCTCCTTGACCAATCGGTCGAGTTTGCCTAGCTCGACCGAGTCCATCCCAAAGGGTTTCCATTCCCCTCTGGTACATCCATTGTATCAGCAACAAGCACCTCAGGTTCCTCTTGTACCCTCTGTGACCTCTGAACCCTCTTTCTACCCGTTGTAATGTCTAGCTTCGATCGTCCAAGTGATGTTTGAAACTCAAATGCAACAAAAATATCCCAAATCGGCAACGGCGCCAAATTGATGATAGGATTTGTGTGTGTGTGTGAATGAATGAATGAAATGAGATATGAGGTGGAATGCAAACAGGGTGAATAAATGATGAAATGGTAATGGTGCAAACACAATCAATCAACAATTCCTCTTAACCATCATAGTCATTGAAGTATAAGAGGTTATCAATCCAAAATGGGAAACTTGTCACTCTATGAGAATATGAAACAACCAGAAAGTCAAGCAAGCAGTTATAGATTTGAAGTAACACTAACAACCTAAAAATGAAAATGCAGTGCAATAAAAGTAAACAAAGCAGTGAAGTAAGTAGCTCGACCAAGGACTCGAGTCGAGTTGGAACAGAGTACCAGCTCGATCGAGTTTAGGGACGAGTTGAGACAAAAAAGCTAAAGGTGACGACTTTAACAAGATAAAGAGAGAATTAGGGTTCAAGACAGGGTTTTGCAATCAAAGGAATCTACACTTAATCATCTAGCTCTTAAAACTCCTTGTATCAAGGCTTCTCTTGATATTGGGCTTCTCAATGCCTAGCCAACCCTTTCCCAAGGTGGAGGCTATCAACCAAGGAATGATCTCAGAAACAGGGGGTTAGCCAGTGAGAATCAAACCTTGGAGGCTATAGGATCATTGCCCAAACTAATCCATCCAACCCCTTAGACCTCTATTGTCTAGAGCAAGAGATATTGGAGCTCTTAGTGGATCTTTTCCAGCGAATGCCATCACTTCGTGTGGGGAGTCGCCTAAGGACTTACAAGCCAGGGGTAGTGGTCATGTAGCCTTAAGATCTATCCAAAAGAGAGAGAATCTAGATTAAGACCATAAGCTAGAAGGATTAAGCATATGAAACCTCTAATCTATCCCATCTCAAACCCTAATGGGTAACTACTCACTACACATGAATGTAAACACAAGCAAATGCAATAAAAGAGACATCATAAGAAAGAAGGAATGCAAATACAAAGCAAATAATCCAGGATCTAAGATTCAAGAAGCAAGAGCTTCAAGAACACAAAGATGGGATTAGGGTTCTAAAAAGTAAAAGACAATAAATTAAAAGAAACTAAAACAAAATAATCTAAAGCTTGGTGGTTTTTTCGTGGCTTAGAGCCTTTAAATACAAGAGGATTAGGTTTAGGGTCAAAGGAAAGTCAAGGGGGAAGCAACATTTTTCGGGTTTGACTTTGACTTCCAGCTCGATCGAGTTGAAGCTTGGCCGGTCGAGTTGAGGAACTCGACCGGTTGGTCGAGTAGGACGGTCGAGCTGGTCTTCAAGATGGCTTCTCCCTTCTTCCTTTGCGTGTCCAGTTGAGCTGCTTCCATGTGCCAAGTCCCTCCATGCTCCTCATGTCCCATATGCTCCAGAATGCTCCAAAAGACCTATTTCAAAGGACCAAACATGCATATGTATGCAAATGCAACCTAAAACTAACATGAATGCATAAGAAGAGAAAAGGAACAAGATATGATGCAAATGGAAGCTAAAACTATGCAAAAGATGCATAAAAGATGTGCTAAAACTATGTAAAATGCAAGTACATCAAACCCTAAACCCTTGAATCCTTCATCTCGATTCCTCTCATTATTGCTTGTTTTCCCCTTGATTTTGATTGCAAGTGCCCCTTGTGGGCTTGTTCTTCAGTATTTGCTTTCATGTCCTTCTCCTGCTTATAGTTTTGTGATTATTGCCTCACCTCACCTCTGTTTTACCATTGAAACTTGTTGCATATCTTTAAAACATTGAATTTGAGTTTGGTATTGGTTAAGATGCTTTGGTTTTCACTAGAATCGCTTATTGTCCCAAGTTCTTGATGTCCTTGGTTCGATTTGATTGTTTAGCTTCCTTTCCACCCCTTATTGTTTGATGTAGGTTCGGTTTCACTCTGTTTTCACTTAGCTCAATCGAGTTTGTCAGTCGAGTTTTTTGACTCGATCGAGCTGAGTGTCGAGTTGACCGAGCCGATCATTACAGCTCTAATTCTTTGTAATCTTTGATTAATTTCAGGGAATCCACTTCAAGAAGCAAAAAGTTCAAGATGTTGAGAGGTGAGGGAAGCCAAGCAGCTGAAGGAAGAAAGAAAAAGGCAGAGCAAGCAAGAAGAATGAGAGAAAGGATGTCCATAGATGAAGGGTTGGAGTATGATAGAATAGTAGTTGGATGGATGGGAGGTACCAATTCAAGTTCACACATCCATTGGCTGGCCCTTCCAAGCTTCTCCTGCCCAACCCAGAGCTCACCAGAGTAGTCGGGGGTGAGAACGTCGATTTCAAACCCCCTTTGTATACACTAGTTGGGCATGAAGATGATTTGCGAGAAGAGGAGCCTGAACTCGATCGAGGTGAGGATCGAGCTGAGGCTCAAGGTGAGGATCGAGCCCAGGGGAATGCGGATTTGGATGAGCCTGAATGTTACTATTTTGAGGAGTATCAGGCTCCAAGGATGAACCCCTCTGTTGTGGCTGCTCACAAGAGGATTGGACTTCTTCAAAAGTTCAACAAATCGCAAGGGAAGGCCATTGAAAAGATGCAAAAGTCCATGGACAAAATGGTGAGCAAGATCAAGAGTTCGGAGAAGAAAGTTTCTGGTTCTTCATCCAAGAAGAAGAAGACACCCATGACTCCTACTTTCCCTAGGAGTAGGTCACTCCTCACCACCCCAAGGAGGCTTCATACCCAAGAGCCTCACAGAGCCTCATCATTTGAGCCAAGGGAAGGAGAAGACAACTTGCAGAGGAGGAGGAAGAGTTCCAAGGCTCGACGCTTTAACTCGACCACAAGACTCGATCGAGTCCAAACAGAGGAAACTCAACTCGATCGAGCTGACGGTCGAGTCGGTCTTGAGGAGCCACAATTCGAGAACCCTGGGTTTGAGTACGATCTGACACCTTACCAGGGACTGTGTGATTTAAGTTTGGGGGAGGGTTCAAGAGATGATTTAACCTTGTTTTCTTTGTTCTTAGTTTTACATCCATCTATTTGCATAGAAAAACCAAAAAAATCATAAAAATTTCAAAAAAATTTCATCTTTTGCATTCATATTTGTTAGAATTGTTTAGGATCGCATCTTTCATTTGCATTGTTGATTTGATTTTGAGAACTTGTTCATCATTTGCGATTTTACCTCAAGTGTCAAAAAGAAAAGAAAAGTTCCCTAAGTGTTTAGAAAATCCCAAACCGCTAGATGTTACCTCAAGAAGCCTCTCCCTAGGAAGTTCTTAAAAGAAAAGTGAGCAAAGCTCCTCAGTTTCAAAGGCGAAATGCCAAAAAGGGTAGTTAGGATTTTGTTCTAAAAAGCTCTAAGTGTTGAACTCGATCGAGTTAGGATTAGGCGGCTCGAGCTGCTGTTCTTGCATCATCTTTGGTTCTAACACTTAGCCTTCTGCCAAAGCAAAGCCACTTTCTTGAGAGATCCCTGTTACTAAACCACCATACAAAAGAGACCCTCTTTGTCTCTTAACCCATAAACCCTTGAAACCAAATGAGTTGATTGATCTTGCATGTTTTTGGTTCACTGTTTTTGCTTAATGAATGTTAAAGGGATTTGCTGATTTGAATGCATTGTTTGAGTGACTGTGAAGTGGGATTGATGTTGATAAGCATGGTTAAATCTTAATGAATATCTCTCACCTTGTTGCATTCTAGAATCTCTAAGTTGGACATTTAGCAAATCGCTTTTGAGGACATGTTTTTAAGTGTTGAATCAGCTTTTTTCAAACCTCATCTCTTTCTTGTTCTATTTGTTTGCTTGAGGGCAAGCAAAGTTCAAGTTTGGGGGTGTTGATGTACTTGCATTTTACATAGTTTTAGCACATCTTTTATGCATCTTTTGCATAGTTTTAGCATCCATTAGCATCATATCTTGTTCCTTTTCTCTTCTTATGCATTCATGTTAGTTTTAGGTTGCATTTGCATACATATGCATGTTTGGTCCTTTGAAATAGGTCTTTTGGAGCATTCTGGAGCATATGGGACGTGAGGAGCATGGAGGGACTTGGCATGGACGCAGCTCAACTGGATACGCAAAGGAAGAAGGGAGAAGCCATCTTGAAGACCAGCTCGACCCCTACTCGACCAACCGGTCGAGTTCCTCAACTCGACCGGCCAAGCTTCAACTCGATCGAGCTGAGAAGTCAAAGTCAAACCCGAAAAATGTTGCTTCCCCCTTGACTTTCCTTTGACCCTAAACCTAATCCTCTTGTATTTAAAGGCTAAAAGCCACGAAAAAACCACCAAGCTTTAGATTACTTTTGTTTTAGTTTCTTTAATTTATTGTCTTTTACTTTTTAGAACTCTAATCCCATCTTTGTGTTCTTGAAGCTCTTGCTTCTTGAATCCTAGATCCTGGATAATCTCTTTGTATTTGCACTTGCTTATTTCAATAAAAGTTGTTTATTTCATCTCCTCTTTCTTATGATGTCTCTTTTATTGCATTTGCTTGTGTTTACATTCATGTGTAGTGAGTAGTTACCCATTAGGGTTTGAGATGGGATAGATTAGAGGTTTCATATGCTTAATCCTTCTTAGCTTATGGTCTTAATCTAGATTCTCTCTCTTTTGGATAGATCTTAAGGCTACATGACCACTACCCCTGGCTTGTAAGTCCTTAGGCGATTCTCCACATGGAAGTGATGGAAATCGCTGGAAAAGATCCACTAAGAGCTCCAATATCTCTTGCTCTAGAAATAGAGGTCTAAGGGGTTGGATGGATTAGTTTGGGCAATGATCCTATGGCCTCCAAGGTTTGATTCTCACTGGCTAACCCCCTGTTTCTGAGATCATTCCTTGGTTGATAGCCTTCACCTTGGGAAAGGGTTGGCTAGGCATTGAGAAGCCCAATATCAAGAGAAGCCTTGATACAAGGAGTTTTAAGAGCAGATGATTAAGTGTAGATTCCTGATTGCAAAACCCTGTCTTGAACCCTAATTCTCTTAGCTTGTTAAAGTCGCTGCCTTTATTGCTTTTTACTTCAACTCGACCCTAAACTCGATCGAGCTGGTACTCTGTTCCACTCGACTCGAGTCCTTGGTCGAGCTGTTGCTCTACTGCTTTTCTTTCTATTACTGCATTGCATTTCATTTTTAGGTTGTTAGTGTTACCATATCATTTACTGCTTGCTTGACTTCCTGGTTGTTTCATATTCTCATAGAGTGACAATTTCCCATTTTGGATTGATAACCCTTTATGCTATAATGACTATCATGGTTAAAGGGAATTGTTGACTGTGTTTGTGTTTGCATCTTACCACCTCATCATATACCACTGTTGCATTCCACCACATCTCATTTCATATCTTTCACACCCACACAAAATCCTATCATCAACGGTCGGTCGAGACGTTCGGCTGGCTGTCGAGTCTTGGTCGGCTATCGGCACGGTCGGGTCGATCGTGGCCGAGAGTTTTCGCGTTCGTTTGTCGGGCTCAGCCGGACGGATGATTTTGGTCGAAGGATTCGGCCGGACGTGGGACGAGGCCTTCCTGGTCGGACGGCGCGATCGGCCGCGGTACATGAGTTGTGCCGCACGGCCGCGAGGCAATGCTTCCCGGTTCGCGCGGTACGGTCGTGCGTGGCTTCGGCTGTGTGATTTTGGTTTGGCTGACTGCGGGATGTTGCCTCCCGGATCGGTACATGAGCTCGGCCATTGTTCAGGTGGGACGGATGAGCGTCCGGATGTTGGCCGACCGCGTGACGGATGTTCCTTGGCTGGCCGTTCCGCTCGGTTCGGCCGCGAATTCTCGATAAAGTTGCTTGGACCAGTCTTTACTACTTTGATCATAATTCTTTTTCTACTCATCCAAATGATGCCAATCCACTTGCGTTAGAAATTTAACTCACAAAGAGCACCCAGGAAAGTGGTCTTGATGAAATCTATTGAGTAGATTATTTTTAAGCTCCTCCCAAAGTTTATGTTGTGGCATTGGACTGGTTTGAAGTCCAAATCCTTTGTTTTGCTCCATAATGCACCTTTTGACCTAAAATGACTCTTTGCAGTATAAATCCATAAAAACTACCTTTTAAGACAAGAATCCACTAGAAAACCATTAGAAAACCATAGTAAAATACTATAAAAAGCATGTAAAATAGAGGTATATCAGCGGGAAGAATGGTTATCAGATCTCCCTGTTGTAATCGCATCCCCTCTATACCTCTTGAGAAACCCAAACTTGTGTTAGCCAAATTAGTTGAGACACCTCTTTCCTTAGATGACTCGAGTCTTCAGAGATTGAGTTAATTCGTAAAACATCCCGAAAACTCTGGGATTGTGATCTATGCCCCCAAATCCAAGTTCTCCCGATTAAATCACACCTAAACCCCTCATAGCGTTGACCCATTGAAAATCCATCGACACCGATCCACCGGATTATCCGGAAAAAACCCTCCAGTAAAAACCATGTAGAATCCCCAACCTGCTCCGGTTCGATGTCCGTGTAGGAATCTTCGAAGACCAAGATCTGATCAGATCTCCCTTTGACATACCAAATATCCCATAAAGCAACCCAAATCACCACCAAATCCTGTCCGAATATCATGCCCAAGAATCAGATTTGAAAATCGCCATTGCTATCGTCCTCTTTCCGTTCAATAGGTCATTTTGATCTATTTTTTCAATAATTTATTATGTGTGGAAAAGACTCTACGTTAAAAAAGGAAAATAACTCACACAATCTTTGAAAGTGTCGTAATGACTCACATAATTATTTTGAAAGCTAAGTCTTGTAACACATGTAGAAAAGACATAACACCCTTGCTTACAATTTTTAATAATGACTTTGCCATTAAGAAAAAAAGGTAACCTAGTAAGTGGTAATATGTGAAGTTGTAAAACATCTATATTTACTATCTTTGTGTCGAGAAAGGTCGATAATCGGCGGCGAAAAATCTGGAGACTTAACTTGCTCAGATTACGGTGAGGACTGAGAAGAACGCTTTTACGGAGGCAACAAGGAGATAATGTAGGTGTTTGACATTTAATTTTGAATGAAACGATGAGTTCTATGTTGGTGAGTTTTTGTTAAAATAATGGTTGTAAAGTTTGCAGGTTCTGCAAGTGGAATGGGGGTTACCTGAGTGTCGGAGAAAAATATAATCTTATGTGTTGTAGTTTCGGGTAAGCGAAATTGTAGACCAATTTTGTTTATTAGAGGTATCGGAGTCAGACAAGTATCAATCTTGAACCACTGAGTTCTTGACAGGTCTCCTGGAAGCGAAACGTAGGAGGTCGAATTCGTAACGGCGGGAGGGACATATGCGTGAGCAGAAAGGAAAGGTAATGTAAAAGTTAAAAAGATTATTTAATATTGGGCGAGCAATTATGATAGATTTTTGTGTTCTAATTGAAGAAGGAATGACGGTAGATATTTTAGTATGTATAGATGTATCTCTTAGTATTAATAGATACTTGACCTTGTGGTAGATATATGAGTTCCGGTTTGTTTAAACATACATCTTATTGTAATATTAAGACACGTTTCTGTAAACTGTTTTCGCAGAGATGGGTTCTTCTACACTGAGGAGGGAATATCCGGGGAGATTGTTCCCAGCCGGAAAATATCCTTTGCAAGATCGAAACTTGCATCACAACGGCAATTTGACCGAGTTTGGGCATCTGAAGCACTCTGTAGGAGAAGAAGTTTTCAATGACGTTATGAGTACATCTCAAGTGGAAATTATTCTGAAGCTTGCCTCAAGTAGTTACATGTGGTGTGCGAAGACATGTCATAACCTCCTAACACATCAATTGGCTATTGAGTCGAGTAATGAGATATGGTCACTATTTGGAGGTCGGCCAATTGGGGAATCACACAGCTAAACTGTAAAGAGTTTGAACGTAATGATGATTCGCAAGTAGAACACACTTCGTTTTGGGACCTGGTCGGCATTAAACATGGAGAAGGACCTTCTTGGCATGAGTTGAACGGAGCGCTTGGCAGATGCAGCACTTGGACGTAAGAGCAGAAGAGAATGCTTGCGCTGCCGTTTGTTCTGCACATTGGAATATATGGCATTTCTCGGTCTAGTAGAATTTGTTTTAAGCGTGCTAAAAGGGTTCTTGTTCTGGAGTCATTTGAGAGTTATCCTTGGGGGCAGAGTGGGATTTAAGGAGTTGATGGAGTCCATAAAAGTAGCTAAACTTGATGGGAAGACGTACGTCGTACACGGATGTGTACATGCGCTGTTAATATGGGTATACCAGGCTATTCCAATAAAAGGTGAGAAATTTGGTAAGAGACGAGCAAACATCAAAATCCCATTACTTCGGTGGGAATCATGTCGCAATAGATAAAATCTGGAAGCATTAGTAGAAGAAGAGAAGAAAAAAACAGGTCTCGATAAGGTATTACTCGGTTGCCAGTCGTGTTGTTTGTTATGATTCGGAAACGACATGATTCTTATGATGATCAATATAGAAGAATGTATTTGTTTACTAAGATTATTTTGTAATGTCCTTGCAGGTTCGAGTTAGGCAGTTAGTGTTGAAACCTCTGGAAGAGATATATCCCGTTTGGGCAGGCGAAGAGGCAGGAGGTGATATCAAGCTTGATAACATGATTCGTGATATTGTTGGAGGGTGTGTGGATGAGAGTTGCTGGGAAACAGAAGAGCAAGTGTTGAACAAAAAGAAGAGATAGAAAAAGTTAAAAATGGTGGTAGATAGTGATGATAATTTTGTAGATAAGCCTTTGCGAAAGATTTCAAGTAAGAAGATGGAAGAGAAGAAGACGAAAAAAGATGGAGCCGAGAGACTATAGTTATTCTGAATCTCAGGAAAAAATGGAAGATGGGTTAGGTTGGGATGGAAGGGTTATAAGAAAACCAACCGACGTCCTTGTTGAAGAATCACAAGCGAATGTGCTTAACACTATTCTTGAGAAACTCAATGAGCTGGGAACGAAGTTTGAGCTATTGCAGACGAACAAAACTACTGTGGAGGAGGGATCGACGCCGAAAAAGGAATGAAGTAGCCGATGAAGTAGCTGAGGAGAATGTGGATGATGCAGAGTCTGACGCTGTTTGGGAGAACAAGGATAAGAAGGGTTGTGAAGCGAATCCGGAATAGGTTAGTTGGTATTTGTTTTAATGCATTGGTTTTGTTTATCATATTTGCAGATGAAATACCATTGATTCATATTTACAATATCATTCTAGTCGTGGATTTCAGTATAGGAAGAAACATCGCAGGAAGGGATAACAATAACCCGAATCATAAGAAACCCGTTCTTCCAGTATAGGAGACCTACACGAACGAAGCTGAAAGTTAGGAAGTGATTCGATGGAGGGGAAGACACCGATTATTATTCCACAGCTAAGAGAACATGTCGATGATTTTCTGATGGAAGCATTTGCGGCCAACTCACAAAAGCTGGGAGGGCAGGGAAAACAGGACAATGCAAAGGTGAGGCCTACTCGAGACATCTATTTGTCACCGAACCAAATTCATCCTAGGTCTGCCGGGAAACGGAAAAAGAAAGCCGGTAACCATCCTGAGGCGACGTATGATCCTTTTGAGAAGGTGGATAGAAAGAAGCAAGTTGCGCTAGTCGAATATGTGAAGACAGATTTGTAAGTCACCACTATCGAGAAGCCCCGTAAATTATAGTGGATACATATATATCATTGCACACCTGATGTTGATGCAAGCGCTGCCTTTGTTACAGGGATAACCCTATTGAAAGTAGCAGTCCAGAGGTAGATTTCTACCTAACCTTAATGACACCCAAAAAACAGTGGGTCATAGATGAATACGGCTGGCTTTCCGATATGGTAAATGCGTGAAATTTAGAGTCATGTTAATGTATGTATGAGATATGTGATGATATGTACAATATGAAATATGTGATTAACTTTTAATGTTTTTCTGTTGCAGCATATGGTCGTGGGTATGAGCATATGGTCATTGCGTAGCCCGTGTCCAAATAGAAATGAGAGAATTGCTTTCCTCGACCCTCAGTTCACCAGTTTGTGGTGTATGCAGTACATAAATAACTATCTTGGCCTCGAGAAGACATGGAAATTCCCTATTGGATTCGAGAAACATTACAACGGTATTGCCCCAGACTGTGTGCTGTAACCAACAAGAAATGCGTTCAAAATGTTGACACTTTGTACATAACCCATAATATTTGCAATCGTCATTGGGTGGCAGTTGAGGTTCATTTGGCAAAGAAGAGGGTAAAATTTTATGATTCCATCTACTCGGCATTTGAGGAGAATTGACTTAAAAGATTCTGTGAGGCCGTATATGAAGCTGATTCCGCTGCTTTTGAAGCACCTCACACCAAAAGAGGAGAGCCAAAAAAAGGGCAGGTGTGCCTACAACTTCTAACTGATAAAGCAGGTTCCACAGAATGTGCAAACCGGGGTCTGCTGTGTATACACCTTGAATTGCATCGAGTGTTTAGTTCTTGGACGTAGTTTCACCGGCATCAATGACACGAATGTGGGTGACATCCGTCTCAAGTACGCTGCTGAGATGAAGAATGAGGTGGCCTTGTCTGACTTCGTGAAAATGACAAGCCCGTACCCGCGCGGTACATCTGATGATGATCGGTCGGGGCGGCAGATTGATTCGTTGGATTCGTTGTAATGAAACCATCGTTTTGGAAGAATGTAATGGTTTAGGAGTTGAGGAAGTCATTGTATTAAGTACTTTGGTGTAGTGTTTATGGTATGTTTGTGTGGTATGAAGTTTAGGCGCCGACATATATGTAGACGGTTGTGATGTAACTACATTTTCGGGGTGAACGAAGTAACTGTATGACTTGTATGGGTTCGTTAATGTGTTTTTGCGGAATATGTAATGGGAGGTGTAACCATAAGCCACGCTGGCAGATGAGTCGTCAAATTGCAGACCAGAATTGCCACTTAACCGTCTTTGATTGTATTTGTAAACCGCCCACGAAGTTACAGTTAAAAATAAAATGGAAAATTTTAATTTTCGACTAAGTCAGATATGGTGTAGAAGAGAGGAAGAGCGCGAGGCTGTTGTGTCATATCTTAACTAAAGTTCATCTGAGCTGCCATGTGAGAGTCTAAATCATAATAGACGTATTTGTGTTCTCTTTCATTCGGTACAACTGTTTCCGCTTGGTTCAACTATGGTTTTTAGTTTTTTTTTAAAATAAAAAAACGAGAAAACATGATGATGTATAATGTGAAAATCAGCCTAACAATTACCATAAACACATGTATAACATATATTAAGACACTAATAATGATAGTATGATGCAATATACAGTTTTATGAAAAAATAAATGTTTAGATATCAAGTAACCATGAACTAACCCTTAGAATATAAGGAAAACATAGGTATTGTTATGTTATTTTGACGAGAATACACCAAAATGTCAATTTCCTAACATATAACTCTATGATAATGTTTATATGAGTATTATAAGGCCTAAATACATTTGTTCAATTACAAATTCAAGTTTTATGACACAGTTCAACTAGAAATATAAGAAAACGGTGAATGTTCAACTATAGTACAGTTTGGTTCAACCTTTATCTTGAGTACAACTACGCTCATATTTGGCGAAATTTCACCACCACGCCGGCGGGAAATTTTGGAAGGATATTAAATTTTAAAATAATTGGGTTTTCCATTTTCATTTAATTTATTTTTCTTTGCGTCCATTTTCGAAAATCCTTTACTTTACTCATAGGGATTCTGGAAGAGCAGAGAGGAGAGAGAGATAGGGGTTTCGGGCTCTAATTTCTGGAGAGAGAGAGAATCTAGAGAGAGACTCTTCTTGGTTCCATTTCCAGTCGAAGCAGGTGCCGATTTCCAGATTTCCAGATTCAAATTAAGGTTCAATATCCTCGAATCCCTGGATTCATGCGTAGATCTAGTACAGTTTTGAGGCTTTTTAATGAATTTTCACTATATGTAATTTTATATTTTTCATTTTTTGCTTTTCTATCTGAATCACTGTTTCTTGTCACAAGGGAATGGGTCCTCACAGTTGGATAGCTACGTCTTCCTCCTCCTCGGCGTCTTTAGAAACTGGTCTCATCGGAGAAGTTGAATACGGAATGCCCAAGCATTGTTACTGATGTACTTGCATTGTGCATAGTTTTGGGACATCTTTTATGCATCTTTTGCATAGTTTTAGCATCCATTAGCATCAGAGCCGTGCCAAGGTCAAAACATGCCATAGGCCAAAAAAAAAAAATGAAATCAAAAGAAAAACTGTCTACTGTAATAAACATTATCATATCATAAAAGAAAATAGAGAACTAAACATACTAAACTAATAACTTCATTCTTGTTATTTTCTTTCCAACAAATCACTAATTAACCATTCAAAATCAACTTATGTAACAAACTTTTTTCCGATAGATAAGATAACTTTTTTTTTTTGGTCAACTAGATAAGATAACTAAGTCACTCAACTCTAATAGAGATGATTAATAACTAAATAAAAACAGAAAAGTGGAAAAGATGAAAATAGCCGACAAATTTATAAGCATATATGCATATGAACTAAAATATAACACTAATATGCTTATATGTGTTTAAAAAAAAATGGAGGCCGTAGGCCAATGCTTTTTCCTCATAACGGTAGGCACAGCTCTGATTAGCATCATATCTTGTTCCTTTTCCCTTCTTATGCATTCATTGTAGTTTTAGGTTGCATTTGCATACATGTGCATCTTTGATCCTTAATTAGGTCTATTTGGAGCCACTATGGAGCAGTTGGGACGTGAGGAGCAAGGAAGGATTTGGTGCATGGATTCAGCTTGGCCGCACACTCTTAGGATGAAGAAGGAAGCCGTCTTGAAGTTAGCTCGTCCCATTCACTCGACCAACCTGTCAAGTTCGCCAACTCGACCGGCCAAGGACAACTCGATCGAGCTGCAGGAGTCAAAGTCAAACCCAAAAATGTTGCTTCCCTTTGACTCCTCCTTTGACCCTAAACCTAATCTTTTTCCTATTTAAAGGCTTGCAGCACGAAAAAAGCACTCGTGGACCTATTATTAGTTTTACTTTTTGTTTTAGCTTTTTAATTAGTCTTGTAATCTTTTCTTAGCCTCTCTATGTGTTCTTGAGCTTTATGCTTTGAACCTTAGATCTAGGCCTTATCTTTTTTATTTGCACTTGCTTATTTCAATAAAAGTTGTTTATCTTTATCTCCTCTATCTTTTAATGTCTTCTTCATTGCATTTCATCATGATTTTCGCAATGTGTAGTGAGTAGTCTTCTTTAGGGTTTAAGATGGGCTAGACTAGAGGATTCATATGCTTAATCTTTGTTGCTTGATGTTCTTAACCTAAAATCTCTCTCTTTTGGACAAAACCTAATGCAACACAACCACTATCCATGTGATTGATCATAGGCGATTTTCCTCATGGGAATGATGGGAAATCGCTTGAAAAGGTCCACTAAGAGCTCCAATATGCTTGCTCTCGAAATGGAGTTTATAGGTGTTGGATGGGTTAGTTTGAGCAATGATCCTACTGCCTCTAAGGCTTGATTCTCACTGGCTGACCCCCTGTTTCTGAGATCTTGCCTTAGATGATAGCTTTCACCTTGGGAAAGGGTTAGCTAGGCTTGAGAAGCTCAATATCAAGAGATACTTGATACAAGTGGTTAAGAGCAAGATTGATTAAGTATAGCCTTCCCCTAGTCGCAAGACCCTGTCTTAGACCCTAATCTTAGTTCCAATAGATTAAGTTTGCTTCTTTATCGCTTTTCATTCGCATTTCCTCTGTTTTACTTCAACTCGACCCTCAACTCGATCGAGCTCAGTTACTCTGTTCAACTCGATCGAGCCCTTCGTCGAGCCGCTTTTATTTCTTGTTTTTCCTTTGCATTTCATTTCATATTAGGTTGCTAGAGTTACTTCCCATCATCTTTACTGTTTGCTTGACTTTCCTTGTGTTTGCACATTCTCATAGAGTAGCAACAAACCCTTTTGGATTGATAACCTCTTATACTACATCGACTATGATGGTTAAGAGAATTGATTGATTGTGATTGCACCATACCATCTCATCTTTGCTCACCCCTGTTTGCATTCCACCTCATATCATTTACATCATTATCACATCACCCACACACACAAATCCTACCATCAATTTGGCGCCGTTGCCATTTGGGTTTGATTTTTGTTGCATTTGAGTTTCCAAATCACATGGACGATCAAGATATCCCACTCTTGTTCCTTGTATTGCTGGGTTTTTTTTATTGTTTTCCAGGTGCATGCAAACTCGATCGAGTCAAACAACTAAAGACTTGGTCGAGCTAGATTTCACCACGGGCAGAAAACAAAGTCAGAGGACTCAGAGGGTACAAGAAGAACCAGAGGTGGTAGTTACTGAAGCCATGAACGATCCAGAGGGTAATGGAAACCCTTTGGGTAACGGACTCGGTCGAGCTAAACAGACTCGACCGATTGGGCTAGGAGATGCTCCAAACCGCCATCAACTGAGGCAAGGAATTGTCCCACCACCTGTCCAAAACCACAACTTTGAGATCAAATTGGGCATGATCAACCTTGTGCAGAACAAGATGTTCCATGTATTGCCAAGTGAACACCCAATTGATCACTTAAATAAGTTTGATAGGTTGTGTGATTTGACTAAGATCAATGGTGTCTCTGAAGATGCCATCAAGCTGAGACTCTTCCCCATGTCTCTTGCTGACAAGGCACACCAATGGGAGAAGAGCCTGCCCCATGGCACAATAACCACTTGGGATGAGTGCAAGAAGGCATTTCTTGCTAAGTTCTTTTCAACCGGTCGAACCGCCAAGCTAAGGAGCGAGATATCAGGCTTCATTCAGAGGAACAATGAGACTTTTTCTGAAGATTGGGAAAGATTCAAGGGGTACACCAGTCAATGCCCTCATCATGGTTTTAACAATGAGTCATTGCTCTCTACTCTCTATAGAGGTTGTTTGGCAAGGTATAGAGAGATGTTGGACACAGCCAGCAATGGAAACTTCCTTAATCATGATGTAGATGATGGCTGGTAACTAGTGGAAAACATTGCAAACTTTAATGGAAGTTATGGAGAAGAGTATGATCACACCAACCGGAGCTTGACCCACCACTCGATCGAGTCAGACGAGAAATTGAGAAAGGAGGTCAAGTCGTTGAATGAGAAGTTGGACAAGCTTATCTTAGCTCAGTCCACAATGAAGAAGGTCAATTTTGTGTCTGCTGAAGAGATGGAACCTGTTCAAGAAGGGGAGGATACACAATATGCTGAAGTTTGTTACATGAGCAATGGGCAAGGAGGTTACAACAAAGGATATTACAACTACAAAGCCAACCCAACCATGTCTTACAGAAACACTAACTTTGCCAACCCACAAGATCAGGTTTACCCTCAACAACAACAAGCTCGATCGTGTCAAGCTCCTCCACAAGGGTATGGACAGAAAAATAACTGCCAAGGCCCTCAAGGAACCTTTCCTGGACAGCAAATGCACATACCATCTGGATTTCCCCACCAACCACCCCAGCCTGCGCCTAACCAAGAGCATGAGCTCAAGGCTAGGTTGAAGCAATTGCTCCAAGGTCAAGCTGAGGAGCATGGAAGGACTTGGGCATGGACGCAGCTCAACTGGATACGCAAAGGAAGAAGGAGGAAGCCATCTTGAAGACCAGCTCGACCATCTACTCGACCAACCGGTCGAGTTCCTCAACTCGACCGGCCAAGCTTCAACTCGATCGAGCTGAGAAGTCAAAGTCAAACCCGAAAAATGTTGCTTCCCCCTTGACTTTCCTTTGACCCTAAACCTAAATCCTCTTGTATTTAAAGGCTAAAAGCCACGAAAAAACCACCAAGCTTTAGATTACTTTTTGTTTTAGTTTCTTTTAATTTATTGTCTTTTACTTTTTAGAGCTCTAATCCCATCTTTGTGTTCTTGAAGCTCTTGCTTCTTGAATCCTAGATCCTGGATAATCTCTTTGTATTTGCACTTGCTTATTTCAATAAAAGTTGTTTATCTTTCATCTCCTCTTTCTTATGATGTCTTTTTATTGCATTTGCTTGTGTTTACATTCATGTGTAGTGAGTAGTTACCCATTAGGGTTTGAGATGGGATAGATTAGGGTTTCATATGCTTAATCCTTCTTGCTTATGGTCTTAATCTAGATTCTCTCTCTTTTGGATAATCTTAAGGCTACATGACCACTACCCCTGGCTTGTATGTCCATTAGGCGATTCTCCACATGGAAGTGATGGAAATCGCTGGAAAAGTCCACTAAGAGCTCCAATAACTCTTGCTCTAGAAATGGAGTTCATAGGGGTTGGATGGATTAGTTTGGGCAATGATCCTATGGCCTCCAAGGCTTGATTCTCACTGGCTAACCCCCTGTTTCTGAGATCATTCCTTGGTTGATAGCTTTCACCTTGGGAAAGGGTTAGCTAGGCATTGAGAAGCCCAATATCAAGAGAAGCCTTGATACAAGGAGTTTTAAGAGCAAGATTGATTAAGTGTAGCTTCCTCTGATTGCAAAACCCTGTCTTGAACCCTAATTCTCGCATTAGCTTGTTAAAGTCGCTGCCTTTATTGCTTTTTACTTCAACTCGACCCTAAACTCGATCGAGCTCGGTACTCTGTTCCACTCGACTCGAGTCCTTGGTCGAGCTGTTGCTCTACTGCTTTTTTTTTCTGCATTGCATTTCATTTTTAGGTTGTTAGTGTTACCCCATATCTTTACTGCTTGCTTGACTTCCTGGTTGTTTCATATTCTCATAGAGTGACAAGTTTCCCATTTTGGATTGATAACCCTTTATGCTATAATGACTATCATGGTTAAAGGGAATTGTTGACTGTGTTTGTGTTTGCATCTTACCACCTCATCATTATACCACTGTTGCATTCCACCACATTCATTCATATCTTTCACATCCACACACAAATCCTATCATCAATTTGGCGCCGTTGCCGATTTGGGATATTTTTGTTGCATTTGAGTTTCAAATACACTTGGACGATCAAGCTATACCACCCCTGTTCTATTGTACTGCTGGGTTTTTGTCTCTTTTTGCAGGTGTATGCGAACTCGATCGAGTCGGTCTACAGAAGACTTGGTCGAGCTAGACTTACAACGGGTAGAAAGAGGGTTCAGAGGTCACAGAGGGTACAAGAGGAACCTGAGGTGCTTGTTGCTGATACAATGGATGTACCAGAGGGGAATGGAAACCCTTTGGGCAATGGACTCGGTCGAGCTAGGCAAACTCGACCGATTGGTCAAGGAGATGCTCCAAACCGCCACCAACAGAGACAAGGGATTGTTCCACCACCAGTGCAGAACCACAACTTTGAGATCAAGCTGGGAATGATCAACCTTGTCAGAACAAGATGTTCCATGGATTGCCAAGTGAAGACCCCATTGACCACCTTGATGAGTTTGATAGGCTTTGTGATTTGACAAAGATCAATGGTGTCTCTGAAGATGCCATCAAGCTGAGACTCTTTCCTATGTCTCTAGCTGACAAAGCTCACCAATGGGAGAAGAGCTTGCCCCATGGCACAATCACCACTTGGGATGAATGCAAGAAGGCCTTTCTTGCTAAGTTTTTCTCCACCGGTCGCACAGCCAAGCTTAGAGGAGAGATATCCAGCTTCATCCAGCGAAACAATGAGACATTCGCAGAGGCTTGGGAGAGGTTCAAAGGCTACACAAGTCAGTGCCCACACCATGGATTCAACAATGAATCACTACTCTCCACTCTTTATAGAGGATGCTTGCCTAGGTATAGGGAGATGCTAGACACAGCTAGCAATGGGAACTTCCTCAACCAGGATGTAGATGATGGCTGGCAACTTGTGGAGAACATAGCCATACTCAATGGAAGCTATGGAGAAGAGTATGATCGCACCAACGGAGCTCGACCCCACTCGATCGAGCTGGAAGCACAGATGAGAAAACATGCTTGCTCTGAACTCGAAGTTGGACAAACTGATCCTAGCCCAATTCCCTGCCAAGCATGTCAATTATGTCTCTGGCAAAGCTCTAGTAAAGACCAGGAAGGGGAGGAGAACCAACATGAGGTTTGCTATATTCAAAATAGACAAGGAGGTTTTAGGAATCCTCAGCAAGGATATACAATTGGCTATGGACAACAAGGGACATACTCCACCTATCCAAACACCTTGCCGCAACAACACCCTAGTGTCCACCAAGGCTTCACCCAAGGCCTAATCATACCCAACCAACCAGATTGGGATATGAAGGATATGCTCCAACAACTCCTACAAGGGCAAGCCAAAGGTTCACTGGAAATGAACCACAAGTTGGTAGAAATAAACTCAAACTGAGTCATTGACTTCAAGAGTGCAAATCATTGAGTCTTCAAGTGCATCATCCTCTTCACCTCAAGAGTATGCCCAAGCAGTTACACTGAGAAGTGGACAATTTCCAACAGGAGTAGCCCACCCAAATCGCTGTGGACATCGATGACGAGGAAGGGGAGGATTTGGTCGAGTATGCTGATACTCCGCACCGAACTCGATCGAGCTGGAACAAAACCCTGAACCAGCTCGATCGAGCTGGAGAAACCGAGACTCAAGACAAACCAGAGCTCGATCGAGCTGAGAAAGAGCAGACAAAGCAAGCTCCAGCCAACCAACTAAACCTGTTGAAAGAAGAAAGACACTCCATCAGGACCACCACCATACAAACCCCTCTACCCTTTCCAGGAAGGTTCAAGAAACAACTGTTGGAAGCACACAAGGCCAAGTTTGATGAACTAATGAGACAACTTGAGCTGAAGTTGCCTTTCATCGACGCCTTGATGCTCATTCCACCTTATCAGAAATTCCTGAAGGATGCTGTTCAGCAAAGAACCAGGGAAGCGCAAGGAATGGTAGTGTTGACTCGTGAGTGCAGTGCAATAATCCAACGGAAGGTCATTGATGATAGGATTTGTGTGTGGATGTGAAAAGATATGAAATGAGATGAGTGGAATGCAATCAGTGGTATATGATGAGGTGGTAAGATGCAAACACAAACACAGTCAACAATTCCCTTTAACCATCATAGTTGATGTAGTACAAAGGGTTATCAATCCAAAATGGGAAACTTGTCACTCTATGAGAATATGAAACAACCAGGAAGTCAAGCAAGCAGTATAGATTTGAAGTAACACTAACAACCTAAATGAAAAGAAATGAAATGCAAAAGTAAACAAAGCAGTGAAGTAACAGCTCGACCAAGACTCGAGTCGAGTCAGAACAAAGTACCAGCTCGATCGAGTTTAGGGACGAGTTGAGACAAAAAAGCTAAAGGTGACGACTTTAACAAGATAAGAGAGAATTAGGGTTCAAGACAGGGTTTTGCAATCAAAGGAATCTACACTTAATCAATCTAGCTCTTAAAACTCCTTGTATCAAGGCTTCTCTTGATATTGGGCTTCTCAATGCCTAGCCAACCCTTTCCCAAGGTGAGGCTATCAACCAAGGAATGATCTCAGAAACAGGGGGTTAGCCAGTGAGAATCAAACCTTGGAGGCATAGGATCATTGCCCAAACTAATCCATCCAACCCCTTAGACCTCTATTTCTAGAGCAAGAGATATTGGAGCTCTTAGTGGATCTTTTCCAGCGAATGCCATCACTTTCGTGTGGGGAATCGCCTAAGGACTTACAAGCCAGGGGTAGTGGTCATGTAGCCTTAAGATCTATCCAAAAGAGAGAGAATCTAGATTAAGACCATAAGCTAGAAGGATTAAGCATATGAAACCTCTAATCTATCCCATCTCAAACCCTAATGGGTAACTACTCACTACACATGAATGTAAACACAAGCAAATGCAATAAAAGAGACATCATAAGAAAGAGGAGATGAAATTAAACAACTTTTATTGAAATAAGCAAGTGCAAATACAAAGAGATTATCCAGGATCTAGGATTCAAGAAGCAAGAGCTTCAAGAACACAAAGATGGGATTAGGTTCTAAAAAGTAAAAGACAATAAATTAAAGAAACTAAAACAAAATAATCTAAAGCTTGGTGGTTTTTTCGTGGCTTAGAGCCTTTAAATACAAGAGGATTAGGTTTAGGGTCAAAGGAAAGTCAAGGGGGAAGCAACATTTTTCGGGTTTGACTGTTGACTTCTCAGCTCGATCGAGTTGAAGCTTGGCCGGTCGAGTTGAGGAACTCGACCGGTTGGTCGAGTAGACGGTCGAGCTGGTCTTCAAGATGGCTTCTCCCTTCTTCCTTTGCGTATCCAGTTGAGCTGCGTCCATGTGCCAAGTCCCTCCATGCTCCTCATGTCCCATATGCTCCAGAATGCTCCAAAAGACCTATTTCAAAGGACCAAACATGCATATGTATGCAAATGCAACCTAAAACTAACATGAATGCATAAGAAGAGAAAAGGAACAAGATATGATGCAAATGGAAGCTAAAACTATGCAAAAGATGCATAAAAGATGTGCTAAAACTATGTAAAATGCAAGTACATCAACACCCCCAAACTTGAACTTTGCTTGCCCTCAAGCAAACAAATAGAACAAGAAAGAGATGAGGTTTGAAAAAAGCTGATTCAACACTTAAAAACATGTCCTCAAAAGCGATTTGCTAAATGTCCAACTTAGAGATTCTAGAATGCAACAAGGTGAGAGATATTCATTAAGATTTAACCATGCTTATCAACATCAATCCCACTTCACAGTCACTCAAACAATGCATTCAAATCAGCAAATCCCTTTAACATTCATTAAGCAAAAACAGTGAACCAAAAACATGCAAGATCAATCAACTCATTTGGTTTCAAGGGTTTATGGGTTAAGAGACAAAGAGGGTCTCTTTTGTATGGTGGTTTAGTAACAGGGATCTCTCAAGAAAGTGGCTTTGCTTTGGCAGAAGGCTAAGTGTTAGAACCAAAGATGATGCAAGAACAGCAGCTCGAGCCGTCTAATCCTAACTCGATCGAGTTCAACACTTAGAGCTTTTTAGAACAAAATCCTAACTACCCTTTTTGGCATTTCGCCTTTGAAACTGAGGAGCTTTGCTCACTTTTCTTTTAAGAACTTCCTAGGGAGAGGCTTCTTGAGGTAACATCTAGCGGTTTGGGATTTTCTAAACACTTAGGGAACTTTTCTTTCCTTTTTGACACTTGAGGCTTTGCCTTCTTTTCATTCTACTTAGAACCCTTTTTACTTCTTTTTTAACTTCCCAAACCTTTACTAGACCCTTTTTAACACTGCCAACTCCCTGGACTTAACTAAACTCTTTTTCCTTTGGTTTTCCCAACTTTTACCACTTTTCTGGTTTTTACACCCAACTCGATCGAGCTCGAGTTGGCACCCCCAAACTTAGCCTGAAAACAATCCCAAGAGAACTAGACAACTAGAACTACTGCCCCTGCCGGTTTAAACACAACACCTTATGCTAAGCAAAGCCAAGAAAGGTTCTCACATTCGCACAAGAGATAATATGGGGTTTGAAATGAAAAGGCTTAGGTTTAAGGTGTGGTAACTGTCTCAAAGATAGAGATCAGCTATCTGGACAAGCAAAAGGGATATGAAAAGGTAAAGAATGTCCAGATATGTATGTGGTAGCCATGAGTTGAAATCAAATGCAAGCATTGGTAATTAAAGATCAAGTTATGGTTCAATAGATAGGGAAATGCATCAAATCACAGCAATGGTTGAATGAGATGTGCATGCAGTGATATGATCAAGATAAACATGGTTCTTGCTGCTCAATCAATCTCACCCTAATGCACAAAAGAATCTAAAAACAGGGCACTCAAGAAATCGCAAAAGATGGACAAGTTTTCAAAGTCAAATCAACAATGCAAGTGAAAAATGCAATCCTAAACAAGTCTAACAAATATGAATGCAAAAAGATGAAAATATTTTTGGATTTTTTGAAAATTTTATGATTTTTTTGGTTTTTCTATGCAAAAGATGAATGAAAAACTAAGAACAAAGAAAACAAGGTTAAATCATCTCTTGAACCCTCCCCCAAACTTAAATCACACAGTCCCTTGTGTGAGAAAAATTTAGTGAAAGATTCAAGAGGGCAAAACCAAGAAAAAACAAGAACAAATGCAAGAAAATATGAAATGGTATATACAAGGGTTGGTGTTTGGATACCTCAGTGCCCCCCAAAGAACTGGGAGGCTAGGTCGTGGTCTGGAGATGGTAGACGGCCATCAGGAGCACTCCACTCGACTGGGTTCGGCTCACTCGATCGAGCTTGTGGCTCCTCTTCCTCTTCTTCTTCCTCGTTGAAATGTGTGTGGCTCCCTTGGCCTTGGTGGAGCTGGCTTGCTCGAAGCTGTAGGGGTCCATCTCTGAGAGAAGTCCTGGTACTGCGTTGATCGTACTCGAACCCAGGGTTCTCAAACAGGGGCTCCTCCAGGTCAACTCGACCCTCAGCTCGGTCGAGCTCGCTCGATCGAGTTGGAGCGTCAGTCTTGGAACTCTTCCTCCTTCTCTGCGAGTTGTCCTCTCCTTCCCTTGGCTCAAATGATGAGGCTCTGTGAGGCTCTTGGGCAGGGAGCCTTCCTTGGAGTGGTGAGGAGAGATCTACTCCTAGGGAATGTGGGAGCCTTGGATTTCTTCTTCTTGCTTGAAGAACCAGAAACTTTCTTCTCCAAACTCTTGATCTTGCTCACCATCTTGTCCATGGACTTTTGCATCTTTTCCATGGCTTTCCCTTGCCACTTGTTGAACCTTTGGAGAAGTCCAATCCTCTTGTGGGCAGCTGATGTAATTACATTTTACATGGTTTTAGCCCTTCTTTGATGCATCTTTTGCATAGTTTCATTCACCCAAAGCATCATTTCTTGATGTTTTCCCTTCTTTTGCATACATAGTAGTTTTAGGCTTGCATTTGCATACATGTGCACGTTTGATGTCTTAATCAGGTCATTTGGAGCCAATTGGAACATTGCCTATCACTGGAGACTAGTTGAGGAAGGAAAGACTCTGTCTGCCCCATGTACGGACCCGCACTCGGTCGAGCTAGTGAGATACGTCCGAAGTATCGTATCAAATGAAGGGTTTCCACTTCGATTCAGTGTCTGACTTCTTCTTTGAAGTTGTGGATAATTGAGTTAGCTTTCGTCTGGAGGTGGTTTCATGTCATTCGTATCCGCGGTTCAGAAGATACGACGATATTGGTTGGACTCGACCGGCCAGTTTCCAACTCGATCGAGCTGCTTTCCCAGGAGTCAAAGTCAAACCCAAAAAATGTTGCTTTCCTAGTTTGCTTTACTATAAATGGCATTGAGCCACGAATTAAACATAGCTTTGGCTCACCTTTTAATTAATCTTGTATTTGCATTTCTCTTTTTACTTTTTAGCCTCTCTTTGTGTTCTTGAGCTCTTGCTCATAGAACCCTAGATCTAGGCCTTGTTATTGATGGCGGGTTTAGATTGCCTCAAATTTTCACAATTTATAAACCCAACTAATGAGCTGCAAGTGCACAGCCGTGTTGTAGTCGGGGTCGAACACGAGGAGGAAGTGTTCTCGCTTAACACCTTGTGAGATTGGTTTGTAGCTAGCTCGCAATATGAGGTGGTTTTGGACCTAGAATGAGAAAACAAAACAAAAGAAATGTGAATGAGTTTGTAAACAATTTAAAACAAGAGTTAGGCAAAGGACAATCATATGGAGCAATGATGAAAAGATAGTTGCATGGGATGTGTGTAGAGCCGTCTTGAACATGAATCACTAGTGTATGGTCTTTCCACTGTCGTGGCTCCAACCACTATGTTTAAAACAACCTAATATACTCAGCTTTCGTTGGCTATTAGAATTGCAAACATGCATTACAAGGTTCAAGATTCAATTGTTCACAATAAACCATAACTCAGCTTTCGTTGGCTATGATCTATTGCTCACCAAATACTAGTTTTGAGATCTAGATTCAGCACTGTCGTGGTTCTATTTCTCTAAGATCAGATTACTAGATGTACGGTAGAGTAATCATGCATTAAGCTCAAGTAAAGGTGAAGATCCATAAGATAAATCCCAATAAGTTGCAACACAATCAAATCATCACGGCCACCATAGATCTCCTCGGCCTAACTAAGAGATCTACTCGGCCATGATGCAAACAAGCAAGCAAAGCATGATTGTAAACATTATGCAAGTATTAAAAGAGATAAAGGGATGAAGAAAGCTTCTCTATTGATGAACAAAGTCGGATTCTCCCTTGAAAACTCTTAAGATCAAGTTTATAGAAATGGAAACAATGAAAAAGAAAGAACAAGAGTTGAGCGGCGCCTCCTTCTTCTTGGACGATCTCCTAGGGCTTTCTTCTCTTCTCTCTCTCTCACACGTGAACTCTTTGATAATTTTGGACTGGACTCATCGATTCTCTCTCTTCTTCAGCGGCTAAAAACATGTATATATGGGCGAAGTCGCGTAGGGTTTTCTTCATGCGGAAAAGGAAAGTTTCCATGCGCCGAGCCTTCTTCTCCACGTCGTGTATGGGCCGACATTGTACCAAGGAAAGCTCCAAACATTAGCCAGGCCTCTTCTCTATTCGATCAAGGCCTTTGGCGCTGCTGCTCGGGCCATTAGACACTCCAAATCCTCCATGGGCTTCGTTTACTCGCTTACCGGACATGTCTCGGTAGAAAATAAGTCTAGGCCTCATAGTTGATCCAAATGGCTTCATTCCACTTCGACGTGATGCATGACTCAAGTATCTATCTTTCCATATCAAGATCGTAACTTTTGGACGTCGGGAACTCCTCCGCGCGCGGCCAAACTTCCGAAGCTTCGTTCTGCGCGCAGCGAGAACTAACACTTGGAGATAAAATGATCTTCTTGACTTGGAAACTTGCATGGATCTTGATTTAGGGCTCTTTTACTCCTTTTTGCATCCTTTTTGATTATTTCACCTACAAAGACTTCAAATCCCACAAATACAAGAAAACTACCTCTAAAGGCAAAGAATCTTGCAAAAACCGTTTGAAAACATAGGTAAATTATATAGTAAAATCATGTAAAATATGGTGATATCAACTCCCCCAGACTTAGCCTTTTGCTTGTCCCCAAGCAAACTAAGCAGGAAAAGAGGTTTGAAAACGTGAGAACTCTCAAATCTTTTGGAAATCCAAATTGACTTATGCTTTAGTAATCCACATGAAACAGCATTGGCAAGTTTTGAATTAAGAACAAAGTACATACCATGAGTTTTGCGATTTTCCCAAAGCGGTCCACCTCTCCTTGGACAATCCAATTCGCCACCCTTGACTCCTTTCATTTCTAAAGGTGTGGTCTCAACTAGGGAGTATCGATCAGCCGGCTTTAGATTCTTTCTCATCCCCTTGTTTGGCACTTGTCTTTTTCTCCATGTTTCTCCTCTCTCTCTTCTCACTTCTTTGAGTTGATTCATCCCTTTTTTAGGGTAGCGAAGTATTTTTTTATTCAACTCCTTCTCTTTATTATAGAGGTTTTGCTTGGATCTTCCACAGACGCGAGTATTGATGGTGTTTGCCACCGAATCCCCGGTTGCTTGGATTCATAGGCCTTCCATAGACGCGAGTATTGATGGTGTTTGCCACCGAATCCCCGGTTACTTGGACCTTACGCTTTTTCTTTTAAATTTGAAGGGGAGAGAGAGGGAAGCACGAACTCACTAAGACTTTTTCATTTGATGGAGAGGATGAGGAATCATGCCATTTGTATGCCAAGCCCCTAGCTGAGAAGATTAAGTTCATTAAGGGCGGAGTCAAAGATGGATCCTTCTCAAGTCTTTAGAGATGTAGGCGTTTTTGGTAGATCGATCAACTCATAGTGCACCTGTGGTAAGATGTATTGCCAAGAACTGCTCAATGGTCACTTAAACATTAGTACAATCATGGTTAGATCCAAGATAAGGTCATGATTCTCGACAAAAATTTTGACTCAATAAAAACGACTCGATAAAAAGGGAAAAATGCAAATGAAAACGCCAAAATGAACAAACATTGTTAGTAATCCCCCCAGACTTAACTTGCACCGTCCCGGTGAAATCAAATCGGATTAAGAGAGGCATAACATGAAGTTCAAATGAAAAATTGAAAAGAAAAAGGTTTAGGATGATGTTACCAAATGTCGACCAATTTATAATGAAGATCAGTTCCGGTTTGGGTCATTCTACACTTCTTTAGGCAATATTGGTCGGTGAGTTTTTAATTTCAGGCCTTGGTTTCCGCCGGTTTGTGTTTTGGCCGAGATTGGTATATTCGGTCGGCCAAAATGTGGTGCTGTGAACTACAGAACAAACCGTCAAAATTTCATGACCTATATTGAAATTTCATCGACCAACCTGGTATTTTAGAGCCTCTGGTGAAGTTTGGGAGCATTTGTACGAGCGGATTGAGACTTCCTTCACAAAATGGTCAAGTCGGCTCCGGGAAGGAGTTTCCTTGGCCATGTGAAGTTTGGCTCGTTCCTTTTCGTTTCTTCCTGCATAAAAGTGTTAGTTAAGCTCAAAGAAGAGTTTTCCAACCGGTTGGCGCGCCTATGCCGTGATTTGGTTTTGTCGGCCATATTGCTTGCGCGCCATCGGCCAGAATGGGCTCCGTCGTCTATCTCATGATCCGTGATGATTTCTCCGTCCTATCTTTTGGATTTGCCGACCAAAATGTGATTTTATGGTCGCCTGTGAAGTTTGGTGGACTTTGGTCACGCCGTTTAGGAGTTGGCCGTAGTTAGGCTTCCTTGTGCGCGGTATGGCCGAGAGAAATGTACTGGATTGAATTTCTTCGAATCCACTCGGGCCAATTGAGATTTTCTTCGATCGAATTGTTTTAATAACCCTCCTGTGTCATTCCCAAGTGGTGGCCGCCTTGTTTCGTGTGATGGCCTATGTATCTCCTTTTAACCTCCCTTTGGCCGCCATATGCATGTTGGTTTTAGGTGGTGATAGGTTTGCTTTATTTCTCCTTCCTGTCAAATGGTAACTCCTTGCAAAACACTTGAAATCATGATTAGATGGTTTCTCAGATTGTGATCCTCAAGTGACCAACTTGAAGTTCACAATCCAAGAGATTAAAGCACAAACTATAAATTCTTATTTGGTCTTGGTCAATGATCCAAATTTCAAACTATAGTTCAATCTCTTGTAATTTCAGTGAGCAAAATGAGTTTTGACAAGTGATTATGTATTCTTTCCAATCATCAAAAGTAAATCAAGTTAAACCATGATATATTTGATAAAGTGCAATGGTTTAAACGATTTTTCAAGTGAAGATCAAGAGTGATTAGAAATGAATACTAGGTGAGAATTTACTTACCTTTTGGAAGAGAAACGCCTTGTACAAGGGTGGGCTCATTGGGTGGGACACTTCCATTGTTTGGTCTCCTTTGGGTCTTCATCCTAAGAAAATATTTTTGTATTTTTGTTTGATTTTTGAAAAACTCCTGCAAAATAGAAATAATAGTTAAAAACCATATGGGTTGCCTCCCATAAAGCGCTTTTGTTTTAAGTCATTTAGCTTGACTCCTTTTCTTTCTTTCAATCGTGGTGAAGAGTGGCTGAAGGGCAAAGGATCCCTTTAGCTTCTCCATTCTCCGGTGTAGTGGATTCTTGTGGTGGTGTTGTCGCGCCATAGTCATCTCTCACATCATCTTTGAAAACCAATGCCTTGGGGAAAAGCTTCATAGTTCTCTCAAGCTTCTCTTCAATGGATTGGTCACCTTTAAGCTCCGAATCTTTTGGTGTAAAGATTCTTATCTTGTGAAAGAGATTAGGTGCACCATTAGTCTCCTCTTCAGCTCCATATTCATCAAAGGTTGGAAGTAAGATTGAGTTGATATCAATCAATCAATTCCTCTTAACCATCATAGTCATTGAAGTATAAGAGGTTATCAATCCAAAATGGGAAACTTGTCACTCTTTGAGAATATGAAACAACCAGAAAGTCAAGCAAGCAGTTATAGATTTGAAGTAACACTAACAACCTAAAAAAATGAAAAGCAGTGCAATAAAAGTAAACAAAGCAGTGAAGTGTCAGCTCGACCAAGAGCTCGAGTCGAGCTAGAGCAAAGTACCAGCTCGATCGAGTTTAGGGACGAGTTGAGACAAACAAAGCTAAAGGTGACGACTTTAACAAGATAAAGAGAGAATTAGGGTTCAAGACAGGGTTTTGCAATCAAAGGAATCTACACTTAATCAATCTAGCTCTTAAAACTCCTTGTATCAAGGCTTCTCTTGATATTGGGCTTCTCAATGCCTAGCCAACCCTTTCCCAAGGTGGAGGCTATCAACCAAGGAATGATCTCAGAAACAGGGGGTTAGCCAGTGAGAATCAAACCTTGGAGGCTATAGGATCATTGCCCAAACTAATCCATCCAACCCCTTAGACCTCTATTGTCTAGAGCAAGAGATATTGGAGCTCTTAGTGGATCTTTTCCAGCGAATGCCATCACTTTCGTGTGGGGAGTCGCCTAAGGACTTACAAGCCAGGGGTAGTGGTCATGTAGCCTTAAGATCTATCCAAAAGAGAGAGAATCTAGATTAAGACCATAAGCTAGAAGGATTAAGCATATGAAACCTCTAATCTATCCCATCTCAAACCCCAATGGGTAACTACTCACTACACATGAATGTAAACACAAGCAAATGCAATAAAAGAGACATCATAAGAAAGAGGAGATGAAATTAAACAACTTTTATTGAAATAAGCAAGTGCAAATACAAGAGAGATTATCCAGGATCTAGGATTCAAGAAGCAAGAGCTTCAAGAACACAAAGATGGGATTAGATCTCTAAAAAGTAAAAGACAATAAATTAAAAGAAACTAAAACAAAATAATCTAAAGCTTGGTGGTTTTTTCGTGGCTAGAGCCTTTAAATACAAAGAGGATTAGGTTTAGGGTCAAAGGAAGTCAAGGGGGAAGCAACATTTTTCGGGTTTGACTTTGACTCCAGCTCGATCGAGTTGAAGCTTGGCCGGTCGAGTTGAGGAACTCGACCGGTTGGTCGAGTGGACGGTCGAGCTGGTCTTCAAGATGGCTTCTCCCTTCTTCCTTTGCGTATCCAGTTGAGCTGCTTCCATGTGCCAAGTCCCTCCATGCTCCTTTGTCCCATATGCTCCAGAATGCTCCAAAAGACCTATTTCAAAGGACCAAACATGCATATGTATGCAAATGCAACCTAAAACTAACATGAATGCATAAGAAGAGAAAAGGAACAAGATATGATGCAAATGGAAGCTAAAACTATGCAAAAGATGCATAAAAGATGTGCTAAAACTATGTAAAATGCAAGTACATCAATGAGGTACTTTTACTTTCCTTTGTTTAAATTTCTTAGTTTTTATTTTGCTTTTTTGTTTTATTTGTTTTGAGATAGGATAGAAGGAGAAAAAGGTGTGGAAACACAATCCGCACCAAACTATTGGCCGCGGACGCGCAAAAGTGAAATTTGGCCGAGAAAATTCCATTCGGGCCGACCAAACCGGTCGAGCCGGGAAGGAATAGCCTATGCTCGGCCGAGTTCACTCTATTTGCGCGACAGAAAATGTTCGCGTGGGACGCACGAACCCGGGAAAGATTAGGCCGCGATCGGCCGAAATTTTCGTATCGAAACGGACCGACCGTGCCGGTCGATCCGGGAAACATACGATCGGCCTCGGCCGAAATCTCTCGGCCATAACTGAATTTGGCCGACCAAATCGCTCGACCGCGACGAATTCCATCGGCCATCGGCCCAAAACTTTTCTAGGCCAAGGTACACAATGGCAAAGACAAAAGGAAATGAGAGTATGAAGAAGAAGAAGAACCCATTCATGCAACCACCAAAGAAGCAAATCAAGCTAGGGAGTAGTAGCTCCAATGCAAGAGCAGCAATACCAACTTCACCACATTCCATTGATGCAATCAAGAACATGTGGAGAGTCCAAGAAGAGGAGAAGATGATTGGGCACTTGTAACCTTTGTTGGAGAACAAAATCAAGACCCAAGAAAGTGTAAGAAGGCAATGGAGAAGGTGAACATCGAGCCATGTGTGAAGATGGACACCCAAACCCTTGATCTTCTCAAGATAAGAGATGATGTCACATGGTACATAAGGAAGCTAGGCTTGAGCAAGCTCTTCAAGCTAGAATGTAGTGAGTACTCACAACTCACCAAGGAGTTCCTCTCTACAGTAGCTCTTGCCTTTCCCAACCACAATGGAGACCAACCAGCTGGTGATGGACTCCTACTCTTCAAGATAGGCGATGCCAATGGGCGCATCTCCATCTCAGCTCTATGCCAACTCTTTGGACTTCCCAATGAGACAGCACATGACTTCAAGGAGAACTCAAAGAGGAAACAAGCTGCCTTTGCTGATTGGACACACTTTGCCAATGAACCATTCTTGCCTTCAAGGTCAAAGGTGTCTAGAATCACTCATCCAGCCATTCGCTATGTGCACCGCCTCATCTCCACCACTTTCCAATGCAAACAAGAAGCCAACAAGGTCACAACTGATGAGTTCTACATCCTCACCACACCATTCATCAAGCATGAGTACAAGGCCAACCTTGGACTTTTACTTGCCAAGACATTCATCAATGTGAGGAAGCTAGCTCAAGACTTGGAAGGCAACAAGAAGCTTTGTGTTCGTTTTGGGAGGCTTATCACGGCCATAGTACTGCATGTGGGGATTGACATTCCCAACTATGAGCCACTACCCAAGCCAACCCCTTTGGATCTCCATGCTTTCAGCACATCCACTTCCTAAACCGTTGGACTAAAGACCCAACTCGGTTTTGCTATGAGTTTCCAATTGGTCCAGCCAACACTTCCCTTGTCTTGCTGCCACATGAGACATCCCAAGCCTACGCTCTGGTGTTGTCACTTTCCAGCCCAATGAGGAAGAGTTCTATGTTCCATCAAGTGAGAAACCATCATTCCCCATGCTCACCTATCGCACACTTCAGCATGCAGTCAAGACTCAACGCCGCCTCCAAGAACGCCATGTTCTCACTACTGGCATGGCTGCGCATCAGCTCTAGACCGTGTTAACATTCTGGAGAAGATTGTGGAATGCCAATCTCGCTTCATCTCGCGCCTAGTCCGTGTGGTTCGCCACACATAGTCATCTCAAGTGGTACTTAGTGCAATGGACACTTACAAATCTCCATTTTCTATCCCTATCTTATTTTAATGAATTTTTCTTTATTTTTCTTTTACTTTGAATATTACCTCTCACCTTAATGTGATTTGCTTTCACCGGGACGGTGCAAGTTAAGTCTGGGGGGAGTTTTATTGTGTTACTAATGCATTTTTCTTTCTTTTCTTATGTTTTATTCACTTTGTTTCATGTTTTTCAAAAAGTTTTATTGAGTCAAAAACCAGTCCGGAAGTTATGAACTTGCTTTGAGAATTGAGAGTGTTATGCTAACAATCCATGACCCTAGAGCAGAAACCAGCTAAAGGCACAAGCCTAACAGAAGCTCTTACAGTGGATCGACATGCTAGCTCAGCAAAATTTCTAAGGTAACCAAGCAATCTAGAGTTAACCTCACCCTTAATCAATCTTAATACTCTTGTCAAGGGGGTTGGCATACATGTCGACAGTTCCTTGCTTGATTTTCAATAAGATTTGTCTAATCTTTAAAGAGTTCTCCTCTCTCTCCCATCCCAAATGGTAAGTAATGTTATGAGAAAAAGCTCAAAGAGCACAAGGAAAACAAGTAAGCATGAGGAATGCATATGTCTGTACCTTCATGTCTTATGGAATACCTTAGTCAAACAAGGAACAAGCTAAAGACTTATCCTGTGGTTGAAAGAAGGGTCAATAGAAAAAATAAAATGATACCCTAGAAAAGTAGGGAGAAATTGACCTTTCAAAGTTCTGATGTGAGAAAGAGAGAGGAAAAGAACTCATTGCACTTAAAGAGGCAATCTTGGAGAGGATCAAGTGGGTAAGAACAAGTTCAATTGATCGATGTCCCCTTGATAAAGAATTCACGCTTTAAATTTATGCAAGAGGTTAGCAATAGAGAGTTTGGATTGCTGGATGAGACTAGTTGGGTTGGTATTGTTCGCTAAACTTGCAGGGTGTATGTGAAGCTAACCTTATGTTGTCTATGTTCATAGTGGAATACAGGAAAGGAACCTTTCACAGGATATTCAAAAGAGCAAGGGAGTTCCACGTTTTCAAACCTCTTTCACGGATTTAGATTCTTTTTGCTTGAGGACAAGCAAAGATCTAAGTCTGGGGGAGTTGATATACCTCTAATTTACCCACTTTTTATACTGTTTTAGCATTGTTTTCTAATGGTTTTCGGCATTGTCCCGCGCGAGCCGGGAAACAAGGCCTCGCGGCCGCGCAACCCGTTTCGCGTACCACGGCCGATGCATCCGTCCGAGCCGGGAAAAACGTCCCACGTCCGGCCGAGAAACCATCGGCCAAATCTCATCCGCCGACCAGCCGGCCGACCGTGAATCCATCCGGCCACGACCGTTCCGACTCGGCCACGACCCGACTGTCCGGCCGATCGTCCCGACCGACCGTCCCAACGCCGCGGTCGACCCGAAGCCCGTTTTGAAGCCCAAATTTCATATTTTCAAGCCCGGCTTAACCCTAAGCCGCCTCAAAAAGACCTAGCACTATATATATAGCTTTTTAGCCTCTTGTGAAAAGAGAGCCGCCCTGTATTTCGATTTCCTACTCTAAGTTTTATTGCAATCATGTTTTCTTCATCTCTATGTGTGTTTGCTTTGATCATGTCTGAGTAATCCACTAGTTAGGTTGCTAGGGTTACTATTCAATGAGTTGCTTGCATGATCTTTGATTTCAATGATTAGCTAGGGATTATATTAGAGTCTTTGTCTCGTCTTGTGCACTTAACTAATGCTGATTGCTTTACCGCGCATCTAGTAATCCGATCTTAGGTTGATTTGAGCCTCGACAGTGCTGTATCATTCGCCGGACATATTCTTTGACAAGCTAGGTTTCTTAGACTGCGAAAGTTGATCTATCTATATCTAGTGAACTGTATCAGAACCTATTCATTCTAATGCTTGATCTAATCACCTAGGGACATACCAAAAGTTTAGCGACTAGGTAGATTAGCAAAGGAGCCGGAGCCTCGAAAGTGGAATGGTTTTATATTCGTGATCTGTGTTCTAGATGGTTCTTAATATCCCAATATCCCTAATCAATTAATCTATCATTGTTTCATTGATCATTGCTTGCTTCTCTGCGATAGCCCCTATGACCTAGCGCTTTTCCTTTATTGATTTACAACCTCGTTATACTTGCTAGTTCGGTTCACCATTACAACCTCAATCATACTTTTGTTTTAGCTTGATCCAAAATCCATAGTTTCAAAGTGTACTCAATAGCCAGTCCTTGTGTTCGATACCCATACTTCCGCGATCTGTGCACTTGCAGAGGTCTAGGAGTTTGGTAAAACCTGACTCCGCATCAGTCGTCATCCTGGAGATTCAATAAAAGTTTGCAAATGTTAATACCTACTTTAACTTAGTGGAACCGAGACATCTCAATGTTCTAAGAAAAACCGTATCTTTTCCACTTCTTCATGATCAGACAAATCTTTTTCTTGTATGGTTATGTCAGGCATTACAGATTGGGAATTAACTGAATGGCCGATTTCAGAAACCCTCTCGGAGTCTGTGGGTTGTTCCGCTAAAGCTGCTGTTTCTGATTGGGCTTGATATGACTCATATTCTCCTTGTCTCGCTTTTTTTACCTTTGCTATGATCTAAACACAAACAAAATCTAATATTGTTAAAAAGATGGTTGAATAATCCGACACTCAGTTCGCAAATCATTTTGATTTTCGCTTACCCGAAAGAAGACAACAACCTGATATTTTCGCTTTCCCGATTTAAGTAGACGACGTGGGATTTGTAGATGCCAAGACAGGGAGTAACGAGCTTTGGGAGTAAGAGAAGTGAATTGTTAGGAATTTGAGCTTCGAAATCGAATATCCACTCTCTGTTGGATTCAAATTTCTAAAAGATCATAGAGTTTATAAATGTAATTAAGGCTCTGTAACTCGAGATTAATAGAGATTTAGGGTTTCGATGGTTCGGGTTGGGTTATTTCTCTAGGACAGATAAAACTCTGGTTGGATCGGTATAATATGGATATAAGGCGTGAAAAGCAAAAGTATCTTTGGTCAATGGTATCTGGGATGCAATGTTTGAGAACTATGCTTAACATATCAAGTTTGTCGAATTCAAAATTAAACATTAATATGTTTTCGAACATTACATTGCCGATTGTCTTAACATACCAAACATAAACCAGACATCAATATCGAAATTAACCAACACAACATAGTTTAGAGATAATAAAACCAGAGTTTTCAGACAACATAGTTTTTAGATAACAAAAGCGGCGTTTTTAGAGTTCAGCGAGGGCAGATGCTACGGAGTTGAGTTGGCCTCTGAGATGTCCCCAGTGCTGATATCGCCTTATCCGAATCATGCCAGGAGAAATGTTTAAGCAATAACCCCATTTAGACCATTTATCTACATAAACAATAGCATTCGGCGAATTGAGTTCTCTGACCTTTCTACCATTGCCAAGTCATCAACTCCAGGGATTTCCGGAATAAACCAAAATCGACAATATTTGCCTCCATTGACGACCATGTTCTCGACTTCCATCCTGTAAATCTCTGTCAGAACGAAAAAAGAAAATATTCGATCAACTCCAATTTAGGGAGTACACCAACAGATATCTCTAAACCCTAAACCCGTACAACATCCGTATACTTACTTCGAGATTGCGAAACCCTCGATTCGCTTAATAGAATCCTGATCACACCCTCACGAAGGAGAGACCACTTGTAGGAGAACTTCTCAGCCACACTCCCATATGCGATACAATAGAGTACGTTGTCCCTGGTTTAGGCGTTAGTACAATAATTTCATAATATTAGTATACAAATTATTAGGAAACTGACCTATATAAGGAAAGCAATTTCAAAACATGTTGTCCCTAATGGTGAATGGGATGGACCTCTCAGCATTTGCGCTGTTTTCTGGCCGGAAGAGCTTCCCAACGTAGCTCATAGTCCCGATAAGGTCAACGCACGGATAGTACCAATTTGCATGTTCCCACACGAATACGAGGGATGCGAAATATAATTTGTTTTAGTAAGTGTAAAACTTACCTATCGGATAAGCAATGTTGAAGTATCCAAATTTCACATCTTCGAAGGGAGTGAATTTGAAGAAGTTGCGGTCTGTTAGAGGTGGAATCGGGGTTATGGTCGCGTCCGATGGAATGACAAGCATGCACATGTGCGTTGAGAGGAAATGGTTCCTATTCCTACAGTTCGAAGTGGAAACAAGGACGCCGGATATTTGTGCCCACGCTCCCTCTGGAAGAGAATCAAAACGGTCCATAGCCCGTGTATTGACGGACGCGTGAATCTTCGTTCCCTGAGAAAGGACAAATTAATCTTGAGATATTCGGAGAACATATAAACTTTGATGAGGTTATTGCTAAATAGATCAGATCGGAAAGATAACTAACTTCACTATCGACGAGAATGAAGTCGAGTGTGCGCTGAAAGGAGGCATCCCAGTCTTCAACCCTCCGGTAAACCTTCACCCTGATGGTGGTGGGCTTTCGGCGAGTGGAGAACGTATGAAGCTCTTTCAGAAGTGAAAACATTTTTCTCTAGTTTGAGAGAGGATATGATGCGGATTACGGAAGAGAGAAAGCAATATTAGAATGTAGAAGTATATATCAAGTGAAAGGTTGTGTCGTTTGAAATAGAGCAGTTATTATTCTAATAAATAGAGAGGTTTAGCGTTTCTACAAGGAAGAATTATTACCATTTATGGGTAGTTACGAAACCGTAAATGCTCCAAGTAGTGGAAGGTTTAGATGATGATGGTCTTCATACGTGTCATTACTTCCGGCATAACTTGGCGCGTTAATAGAGTGAGTTATTAATTGTCCCGTATTTCTGAGGATTTTAACGAAGAGAGTAAATATTTTTAGGCGGTTGTTAGATATCTATCAAATCGGTTGTCTTCCAAAACTACATTTCTTAACTAGATATTGAAAACAGCGATGAAGCACAGGATGTTTCAATTTATATAAAAGGTTTTTACATCACTTGACACGGTAATTACGTAAATAATAATATATATTTTTGTTATATATGATGATCATTTAGTATCAATATTTTGATTATATAAGTATGAGACGAAATAAATCTGTATACAAATTGTTATAATTTCATGGTAGATAAGTATGGGACGAAATAAATATGTATACAAATTACATCAAACGTAATTAAATAGAAAGATAGGTAGTTCTTAAACATGAAACGAAAGTTTAATATATTGTTGTCTTAGATAAGTTCCATAAAGAGAAGTAGACGCCATGCATTAGCTTAAAACATCTTCCGACATTTTCCTTGAGAATATGAGGGCAGATCATGTTTTAGTGTCGCTTCTACAGCCATTGAAATAATCAAATTCCATTTCTTCATCTTCTCCTTCTTCGCTGTCTTGATTGGAAGAGCACCTGCAGGAACAAATTGGTTTTATTATATTATGAAAGTTCAAGTCTTTTCATTATTCTTGCTATTAGAGAGCGTCATAGGTAGAATACTTACATTATATCAATGAAATGGTCGACCTCATCGAAGCCAATAGGATTATATTCAAATGTAGAGATTCGTTCTTCACTTTCGACATGAGTAGGACCTAGACATATAAGTTATAACATCACATCACGATAAATATCCTAAATTAGTATTAGTCAAGCAAGGATGTATTTGAATTTGTTAATAGACTAACCAGATCTATCAAGAACCCGCCAATCGGTTAACACTAACAACCTATAAATGAAATGCAATGCAATAAAAGAAAAAAAGCAGTAAAGCACAGCTCGACCAAGGACTCGAGTCGAGTAGGAACAGAGTACCAGCTCGATCGAGTTTAGGGTCGAGTTGAGTAAAAAGCAATAAAGGCAGCGACTTTAACAAGCTAATGCGAGAATTAGGGTTCAAGACAGGGTTTTCAATCAGGGAAGCTACACTTAATCGATCTGCTCTTAAAACTCCTTGTATCAAGGCTTCTCTTGATATTGGGCTTCTCAATGCCTAGCTAACCCTTTCCCAAGGTGAAAGCTATCAACCAAGGAATGATCTCAGAAACAGGGGGTTAGCCAGTGAGAATCAAACCTTGGAGGCCATAGGATCATTGCCCAAACTAATCCATCCAACCCCTATGAACTCCATTTCGAGAGCAAGAGTTATTGGAGCTCTTAGTGGATCTTTTCCAGCGATTTCCATCACTTCCATGTGGAGAATCGCCTAATGACATACAAGCCAGGGGTAGTGGTCATGTAGCCTTAAGATTTATCCAAAAGAGAGAGAATCTAGATTAAGACCATAAGCAAGAAGGATTAAGCATATGAAACCCTAATCTATCCCATCTCAAACCCTAATGGGTAACTACTCACTACACATGAATGTAAACACAAGCAAATGCAATGAAAAAACATCAAATGAAAGAGGAGATAAAGATAAACAACTTTTATTGAAATAAGCAAGTGCAAATACAAAGAGATTATCCAGGATCTAGGATTCAAGAAGCAAGAGCTTCAAGAACACAAAGATGGATTAGAGTTCTAAAAAGTAAAAGACAATAAATTAAAAGAAACTAAAACAAAAATAATCTAAAGCTTGGTGGTTTTTTCGTGGCTTAGCCTTTAAATACAAAGAGGATTAGGTTTAGGGTCAAAGGGAAGTCAAGGGGGAAGCAACATTTTTCGGGTTTGACTTTGACTTCTCAGCTCGATCGAGTTGAAGCTTGGCCGGTCGAGTTGAGGTCGAGCTGGTCTTCAAGATGGCTTCCTCCTTCTTCCTTTGCGTATCCAGTTGAGCTGCGTCCATGCACCAAGTCCTTCCTTGCTCCTCACGTCCCATATGCTCCAAATGCTCCAAAAGACCTATTTCAAGGACCAAACATGCATATGTATGCAAATGCAACCTAAAACTACTATGAATGCATAAGAAGAGAAAAGGAACAAGATATGATGCTAATGGATGCTAAAACTATGCAAAAGATGCATAAAAGATGTACTAAAACTATGCAAAATGCAAGTACATCAACACCCCCAAACTTGACCTTTGCTTGCCCTCAAGCAAACAAATAGAGAGGAATATGATCGCACCAATCGGAGCTCGACCCACCACTCGATCGAGTCAGATGAGAAATTGAGAAAAGATGTTAAAGCATTGAATGAGAAGTTGGATAAGCTGATCTTGGCTTAGTCCACAATGAAGAAAGTCAACTTTGTGTCTGCTGAAGAGATGGAACAAGTCCAAGAAGGGGAGGATACACAATTTGCTGAAGTGTGCTACATGAGCAATGGGTAAGGAGGATTGATGATAGGATTTGTGTGTGTGTGTGTGAAGAATGAAATGAGATGTGGTGGAATGCAACAGTGGTATATAATGAGGTGGTAAGATGCAAACACAAACACAGTCAACAATTCCCTTTAACCATTATAGTCATTATAGCATAAAGGGTATCAATCCAAAATGGGTGAAGTTGTCACTCTATGAGATATGAAATAACCAGGAAGTCAAGCAAGCAGTAAATGATGTGGGGGTAACACTAACAACCTACTAAAACAGTAATGCAATGCAATAAGTAAATAAAGCAGTAAAGCAACAGCTCGACCAAGGACTCGAGTCGAGTGGGAACAGAGTAACCGAGCTCGATCGAGTTTAGGGTCGAGTTGAAGTAAAAAGCAATAAAGGCAGCGACTTTAACAAGCTAATGCGAGAATTAGGGTTCAAGACAGGGTTTTTCAACTAGGGGAAGCTACACTTAATCGATCCTGCTCTTAAAACTCCTTGTATCAAGGTTCTCTTGATATTGGGCTTCTCAATGCCTAGCTAACCCTTTCCCAAGGTGAAAGCTATCAACCAAGGAATGATCTCAGAAACAGGGGGTTAGCCAGTGAGAATCAAACCTTGGAGGCCATAGGATCATTGCCCAAACTAATCCATCCAACCCCTATGAACTCCATTTCGAGAGCAAGGGTTGTTGGAGCTCTTAGTGGATATTTTCCAGCGATTTCCATCACTTCCATGTGGAGAATCGCCTAATGACATACAAGCCAGGGGTAGTGGTCATGTAGCCTTAAGATTTATCCAAAAGAGAGAGAATCTAGATTAAGACCATAAGCAAGAAGGATTAAGCATATGAAACCCCTAATCTATCCCATCTCAAACCCTAATGGGTAAACTACTCACTACACATGAATGTATGATAAACTACTCATTACCAACCTTGCTTGAGCCGCCTTGTTAAGATCTAAGACGATACAGAGATATTTTCAGTGGATGAGAAACAAAAGTTGCAATATGATTTAACTCGTTTTAGAGAAAATGTGTAAAGTTTATCGGCAATGGGACAGTCACAAACAACTCACCAAGTGGTTTTTTGGTGTTCGTCTTGAGCTCCTCTACCTTAAGCTGATCCAGTCCGGAAATTCATGTACCAGCCGAAACTCTATTCTACAGAAGGAGAACTTTAAACAATGAAACCTTGAAAGTGAACTAAACAACGTATGTTCAAGCCGAATAGAACTAAGACGTTAGAATGATAAATCTCAAGAATTACGGGAAGGGACCATCTCTTATCTCCCCAAGAATGTATATAGTTAGATGTTTGTAGTAATTATCTGGTTATAAAATATACCAACCTATTCCCCTTTGAAAGTGTAGCTTAATGATACTTACAGAAAGCGCTCCACCACTTTGTTCATTCGAGCTTTGGCCAGGACCATATGGCTTTCTAAGTTGTACTGGATTTCCTACAGAGAAGAAGCGATTTGGCGGAGGAGAAAGAGATAAGAGACAAAACGCAATGATTCCTCAATGATTCCATGGGGATAGAGATGATTCGCAAGTCATGAACGGATAGGTATTTATAGTCATATGGAACGCTCCAGTATTGAGGTGAGCTAAGAAGATGAGTGTAATGACATTTAGTACACTGCTATTAAATGGCAAAGGGAAATTGTAGAGGCAAAAGACGAAGAAACATGACCTCTATACGTTGTAATGGAAGCCGTTTACTGGAGCCAATTCGTCTGATGAAAAAACAGAGCAGTAATGGTCGTCACATAAAACACAACGAAGAGAGCCGTTATTGTACATCACAAAATGGGCTCACCTCAGACATGAACAATAAGTAAAATGTCTTGGGCTTTACAGTTTAGGAGGCCTTGTCCGTCGTCCGTCGAGAGAAGACGGAACAAAGAGATCGGTGGAGGATTGTAGAGATTTCGATCCTCAGCACAATCAATCTTCCCAATATCATCCGGTTCTACGAAGCTATCGAGGTTTGATTTTGTTAAGAGATCTACTGTCGGTGGAGGATGGTGGTGACAGAGCACCGGTGGTTTGTCGGAGAGGGTTTCAGGACGGTGGAGAACCGGAATCCAGCTTCGTTTGTCTCATCGGAGAGCGACTGCAGGACGGCGGAGATTGGAGATTCATGAGATTCAGGAGGCTTTCGTGGATGGAGAATTCGGAGACGACAACGATCGTGGTGAGTAGGGGAGGCAGCAAACGGAGAGTTGAGTCGGCGAGGCGGTAGCATCGACTGCGAGGCTACAGAGAGTTGAGTCGGCGAGGCGGCGTTAGGGCATCGAAGAGTTAATTTTGGGTTTTTTTGTAAAACGGAAAATGTAAAAGGACTTTTGAAACAATATCTTTTTCTTTTCGTAAATGATAGTAAAGATGCTGCCACGTGTCATTTTTATTGAAAGGGGAAGATTTGACAGGTGTCACTCAACTGGAGAGTGATATCCTCTCATTATATATAAGATTGGTAAACGACCTAAAGCTATTTGATTATAATTCAATTTGTGACGATCATAAGTTGAAAATTCATATTCTTCAGTCATTGACAAACAATTTGTTGGACAATACTCAACACAATTACCACAAAATATACAAATTCCAAAATCAATACTGTAATTAAGCAATCGTTTTTTTCGAATATTAGTTTCCAATTTCCAATCAACAACAGGCAGATCTATAGGACATACTCGAACACATACTTCACAAGCAATGCATTTATCAAATTCGAAATGGATTCGACCGCGGAAACGTTCCGATGTTATTAATTTTTCATAGGGATATTGAATAGTTACAGGTAAACGATTTGTGTGGGATAAGGTAATCGTGAAACCTTGACCAATATACCTTGCAGCTCGCAAGGCTTGATTCTCACTGGCTAACCCCCTGTTTCTGAGATCAAGTCTTGGTTGATAGCTTTCACCTTGGGAAAGGGTTAGGTAGGCATTGAGAAGCTCAATATCAAGAGATACCTTGATACAAGTAGTTTGAGAGCAAGATCGATTACGTATAGCCTTCCTCTGATTGCAAAACCCTGTCTTAGACCCTATTGTTCGTTCTAGCTTATTAAAGTCGCTGCCTTTACTGTTTTTTCTTTCAACTCGACCCTAAACTCGATCGAGCTCGGCACTCTGTTCCAACTCGACTCGAGTCCTTGGTCGAGCTGTTGCTCTACTGCTTTATTTACTTTCTGCATTTCATTTCCGCTTCATTTAGGTTGTTAGTGTTACCCCAAATCTTTTACTGCTTGCTTGACTTTCTTGTGTTTTCATATTCTCATAGAGTGACAAGTTCTCCCATTTTGGATTGATAACCTCTTATACTACATTGACTATGATGGTTAAGAGGAATTGATTGATTGTGATTGCACCATACCATTTCATCTTTATTCACCCCTGTTTGCATTCCACCTCATATCTTATCACATCCACCGTAAAATCCTATCATCAATCTTTTGCATAGTTTTAGCATCCATTAGCATCATATCTTGTTCCTTTTCTCTTCTTATGCATTCATAGTAGTTTTAGGTTGCATTTGCATACATATGCATGTTTGGTCCTTTGAAATAGGTCTTTTGGAGCATTCTGGAGCATATGGGACGAGGAGCATGGAGGGACTTGGCACATGGACGCAGCTCAACTGGATACGCAAAGGAAGAAGGAGAAGCCATCTTGAAGACCAGCTCGACCAACCGGTCGAGTTCCTCAACTCGACCGGCCAAGCTTCAACTCGATCGAGCTGAGAAGTCAAAGTCAAACCCGAAAAATGTTGCTTCCCCCTTGACTTTCCTTTGACCCTAAACCTAATCCTCTTGTATTTAAAGGCTAAGCCACGAAAAAACCACCAAGCTTTAGATTATTTTGTTTTAGTTTCTTTTAATTTATTGTCTTTTACTTTTTAGAGCTCTAATCCCATCTTTGTGTTCTTGAAGCTCTTGCTTCTTGAATCCTAGATCCTGGATAATCTCTTTTGTATTTGCACTTGCTTATTTCAATAAAAGTTGTTTAATTTCATCTCCTCTTTCTTATGATGTCTCTTTTATTGCATTTGCTTGTGTTTACATTCATGTGTAGTGAGTAGTTACCCATTAGGGTTTGAGATGGGATAGATTAGAGGTTTCATATGCTTAATCCTTCTTGCTTATGGTCTTAATCTAGATTCTCTCTCTTTTGGATAATCTTAAGGCTACATGACCACTACCCCTGGCTTGTATGTCCTTAGGCGATTCTCCACATGGAAGTGATGGAAATTCGCTGGAAAAGATCCACTAAGAGCTCCAATATCTCTTGCTCTAGAAATAGAGGTCTAAGGGGTTGGATGGATTAGTTTGGGCAATGATCCTATGGCCTCCAAGGTTTGATTCTCACTGGCTAACCCCCTGTTTCTGAGATCATTCCTTGGTTGATAGCCTTTCACCTTGGGAAAGGGTTGGCTAGGCATTGAGAAGCCCAATATCAAGAGAAGCCTTGATACAAGGAGTTTTAAGAGCAAGATTGATTAAGTATAGATTCCTCTGATTGCAAAACCCTGTCTTGAACCCTAATTTCTCTTTAGCTTGTTAAAGTCGCTGCCTTTAGCTTTTTCTTCAACTCGACCCTAAACTCGATCGAGCTCGGTACTCTGTTCCACTCGACTCGAGTCCTTGCTTTCATTTCACTGCTTCATTTCATTTAGGTTGTTAGTGTTACCAAATCTTTACTGCTTGCTTGACTTTCTGGTTGTTTCATATTCTCATAGAGTGACAAGTTTCCCATTTTGGATTGATAACCTCTTATACTACATGACTATGATGGTTAAGAGGAATTGATTGATTGTGATTGCATCTTACCATCATCTTTATTACCCTGTTTGCATTCCACTCTCATATCTTTCACATCCACACAAAATCCTATCATCAATTTGGCGCCGTTGCCGATTTGGGATTATTTTGTTGCATTTGAGTTTCAAACACACTTGGACGATCAAGCTATACCACCCCTGTTCTATTGTACTGCTGGGTTTTTGTCTCTTTTTGCAGGTGTATGCGAACTCGATCGAGTCGGTCTACAGAGGACTTGGTCGAGCTAGACTTTACAACGGGTAGAAAGAGGGTTCAGAGGTCACAGAGGGTACAAGAGGAACCTGAGGTGCTTGTTGCTGATACAATGGACGTACCAGAGGGGAATGGAAACCCTTTGGGCAATGGACTCGGTCGAGCTAGGCAAACTCGACCGATTGGTCAAGGAGATGCTCCAAACCGCCACCAACAGAGACAAGGGATTGTTCCACCACCAGTGCAGAACCACAACTTTGAGATCAAGCTGGGAATGATCAACCTTGTTCAGAACAAGATGTTCCATGGATTGCCAAGTGAAGACCCCATTGACCACCTTGATGAGTTTGATAGGCTTTGTGATTTGACAAAGATCAATGGTGTCTCTGAAGATGCCATCAAGCTGAGACTCTTTCCTATGTCTCTAGCTGACAAAGCTCACCAATGGGAGAAGAGCTTGCCCCATGGCACAATCACCACTTGGGATGAATGCAAGAAGGCCTTTCTTGCTAAGTTTTTCTCCACCGGTCGCACAGCCAAGCTAAGGAGTGAGATCTCAGCTTCATACAGGAACAATGAGACATTGGAGAAGCTTGGAGAGGTTGAAGGGATACAAGCCAATGTCCACACCATGGATTCAACAATGAATCTACTATCCCACTCTTTATAGAGGATGTTTGCAAGGTATAGGGAGATGCTAGACACAGCCAGCAATGGGAACTTCCTCAATCAGGATGTGGAAGATGGCTGGAAGCTAGTGGAGAACATCGCCCTCTCAACAGAAAGATATGGAGACAATTATGTAGCACTGACTGGAGCTCGACCGCTCACTCGATCAGGATATCAAACAAGAAGGGGAGGAGAAACACCATACAAACACCACTCCAACCACAAGGAAGACCATCTATGGTCACACATTTTACCAGGCACCTGTGGCTTACCAAATAACTCCACACAGATCCAACCAGCAAGGGCACCTTCCAAGTTTCCCACCAGGATTCCCACCAATGCCATACCCAACTACACAGAGCCAAGATTGGGATATGAAGGATATGCTCCAACAACTCCTTCAAGGGCAAGCCAAAGGTTCACTAGACATGAACCACAAGTTGCTAGAAATAAACTCAAACTGGAGTCATTGACTTCAAGAGTGCAAACCATTGAGTCTTCTAGTGCGTCATCCTCTTCATCTCAAGAGTATGCTCAAGCTGTTACACTGAGAAGTGGGCGACAGTTTCCAAGCAGGGTAGCCCACCCCAAATCGCTGTGGACATCGATGACGAGGAAGGGGAGGATTTGGTCGAGTATGACGATATTCCGGCACCGAACTCGATCGAGCTGGAACAAAACCCTGAACCAGAACTCGATCGAGCTGAAGAAACCGAGACTCAGAAAGACAAACCAGAGCTCGATCGAGCCGAGAAGAGAACAGACAAAGCAAGCTCCAGCCAACCAGCTAAACCTGTTGCAAAGAAGAAAGACACTCCATCAGGACCACCACCATACAAACCCCCTCTACCCTTTCCAGGAAGGTTCAAGAAACAACTGTTGGAAGCACACAAGGCCAAGTTTGATGAACTAATGAGACACTTGAGCTGAAGTTGCCTTTCATCGACGCCTTGATGCTCATTCCACCTTATCAGAAATTCCTGAAGGATGCTGTTCAGCAAAGAACCAGGGAAGCACAAGGGATGGTAGTGTTGACTCGTGAGTGCAGTGCAATCATTCAGCGGAAGGTCATCTCCGACAAAAAGGAAGATCCGGGGAGTTTCACTTTGCCCTGCATGTTGGGACCCCTATCTTTCAAAAACAGCCTCTGCGATCTAGGATCATCTGTCAGCCTCATGCCTTTGTCTGTAGCAAAGAGACTGGGATATCACAAGTACCAAGCCTGCGGAATCTCACTAGTCTTGGCAGATAGATCGATAAGGTTACCAACTGGAATGCTTGAAGACCTGCCTTTGAGGATAGGGAATGTAGAAATCCCCACCGACTTCATTGTGCTGGAAATGGATGAGGAACCAACAGATCCATTGATACTAGGAAGGCCATTCCTAGCTACAGCAAGAGCAATGATAGATGTCTGTGAAGGCACAATTGAGCTAAACTTGGGAAAGGACCTAAGGATGAAGTTTGACATCAAGGATACAATGAGGAAACCAACAATAGAAGGTCAGCTCTTTTATGTTGAGGAAATGGATCAGTTGGCAGATGAGCTTTTAGAAGAGCTATCATTGGAGGATCCCCTACAAGTTGCTTTGACCAAGGATTCTTCAGAAGGATATGTGAGCTCAGAAACCGAGGAGTACAAGAAGCTCCTTGACACCTTCAGACCAGTTCCAAACATTCTGAGCATTGAGGGGTTGGACAGGCCAGTTTGCGAAGTCATGGCAGTGAGCTCGATCAAGAGCTCGATCGAGTCGGGTTTCGAACAAACGAACTCGATCGAGCTGGGGACTGAATGCAAGGAACAAGCTCAAGGAGATTGGTCTGAGCTCAAGGCACCTAAAGTCGACCTCAAACCTTTGCCTGAGGGCCTCAGGTATGCATTTCTGGGTGAAAACTCAACTTACCCTGTCATTGTGAACTCTGATTTGGAACCTGAACAGTTGAGTGCTTTGCTTGTTGAATTGAGGAAGTACAGAAAAGCAATAGGTTACACTCTAGATGATATCAAGGGGATCTCCCCTGACCTATGCATCCATAGGATTCATCTAGAGGATGAAAGTAAGTCAAGCATTGAACCTCAAAGGAGATTGAACCCCAATCTAAAGGAAGTAGTGAAGAAAGAGATACTCAAGTTGCTTGATGCTGGGATAATCTATCCCATCAGTGATAGCACTTGGATATCTCCAGTTCATTGCGTCCCAAAGAAAGGGGGGATCACTGTCATTAAAAATGACAAAGAGGAGCTGATTCCCACTAGAACAATAGTGGGGCATCGCATGTGTATTGACTATAGGAAGTTAAATTCAGCATCTAGAAAGGATCATTTCCCTCTCCCTTTCATTGATCAGATGTTAGAAAGATTAGCAAACCATCCTTTTTATTGTTTTCTTGATGGTTACAGTGGTTTCTTCCAAATCCCGATCCACCCTAATGATCAGGAGAAAACCACTTTCACATGCCCTTATGGTACCTTTGCTTATCGAAGGATGCCATTTGGGCTGTGCAATGCCCCAGCTACTTTCCAGAGATGCATGACCTCCATTTTTTCAGATCTGATAGAGGAGATGGTAGAAGTCTTCATGGACGATTTCTCAGTCTATGGAGCATCCTTCTCCTCATGTTTGTCTAACTTGTGCAGGGTGTTGCAGAGGTGTGAGGAGACAAATCTAGTACTCAACTGGGAGAAGTGCCACTTCATGGTTCGAGAAGGGATTGTGCTTGGACACAAGATTTCCGAGAAAGGGATCGAGCTCGATCGAGCTAAGGTGGATGTCATGTTGCAGCTCCTGTTCCCAAGACTGTGAAGGACATCAGGAGTTTTCTGGGTCATGCAGGGTTCTACAGAAGATTCATCAAGGATTTCTCAAAGATAGCAAGACCCTTGACAAGGCTTCTGTGCAAGGAGACAGATTTTGAGTTTGATGAAGAATGCCACAAGTCTTGGACCTTGCTGAAGGATGCTCTGGTATCTGCCCCAATAGTTCAAGCTCCAAACTGGGATCACCCATTTGAGATTATGTGTGATGCATCTGACTATGCAGTAGGAGCAGTGCTTGGCCAAAAGATAGACAAGAAACTCAATGTCATCTACTATGCAAGCAAGACTATGGATGATGCTCAGTGCAAGTATGCAACCACAGAGAAGGACTCCTTGCCATAGTCTTTGCCTTTGAGAAATTTCGAAGCTATATAGTTGGGTCCAAGGTGATTGTGCACACTGACCATGCTGCCCTTAGGCACATCTTTGCTAAGAAAGATACAAAGCCAAGACTTCTCAGATGGATCCTTTTGCTTCAAGAGTTTGACATAGAAGTTGTGGACAAAAAGGGAGTAGAAAATGGAGTTGCTGATCATCTCTCTAGGATGCGAGTTGAAGACATGATCCCCATCAATGATTCTATGCCTGAAGAACAGCTTATGGCAATCATGATCTTGAAGGAGAGTTTTGATGAGAAAGTCAGGCTGGAAGAAGTTAAGGCTCTGCGTGATGAGAATTTGCCATGGTATGCTGATATAGTGAACTTCATGGTGTCCGGAGAAGTCCCTAGTAGTTTTGATGCTTACAAGAGGAAGAAATTCTTCAAGGATGCTAGGCATTACTATTGGGATGAGCCTTACTTGTACAAGAGAGGACCAGACAGCATTTACAGGAGATGCATAGCTGAAGAGGATGTACAAGGAGTTCTAGAGCATTGCCATGGGTCAGCTTATGGAGGTCACTTTGCTACATTCAAAACAGCAACTAAGGTTTGCAATCTGGGTTTATGGTGGCCTACTTGTTTAAAGGATGCAGCAAGCTTCATCGCCAAGTGTGATCCATGCCAAAGGAAAGGAGGATCACCAAGAGAGATGAAATGCCACTAAACCCAATTCTAGAAGTTGAGATCTTTGATGTATGGGGAATAGACTTCATGGGACCTTTCAAAGCCTTCCTCAAACGGGCACAACTACATTTTGGTTGCTGTGGACTATGTGTCCAAATGGATTGAAGCCATCCCCTGCCCAGCCTGTGATGCAAGGTTGTTATCAAACTGTTCAGAACCATCATCTTTCCAAGATATGGCATCCCAAGGGTTGTTATTTCGGATGGAGGTTCCCATTTCATCAACAAGGTGTTTGAGAAGTTGATGAAGAGTTATGGAGTCAAGCACAAGGTCGCTACACCTTACCATCCTCAAACCAGTGGGCAAGTTGAGGTCTCCAATAGACAGATAAAGGCCATTATTGAGAAGACTGTGAGCTTCACTAGGAAAGGATTGGTCACAAGACTTGATGAAGCACTTTGGGCTTATAGAACAGCTTACAAAACCCCCATTGGAAGGTCTCCTTTCAACTTGCTGTATGGAAAGGATTGCCACTTACCTGTGGAGGTCGAATACAAGGCTTTATGGGCAGTAAAGATGCTGAACTTTGACATAAAGGCAGCACAAGAGAAAGAGTAATGAACTTGTTTGAGTTGGAGAAATCAGAATGAATGCCTATGAGAACTCCTGATCTATAAGATGAGAACCAAGGCAGCCCACGACAAACTGATTCGCCTTAAGGACTTCAAGGTTGGGGACAGTGTGCTCTTGTATAACTCCAAGCTAAGGTTGTTTCCCGGGAAGCTAAGGTCAAAGTGGGCGGGACCATTCAAGATCACGAAGTTTACCCTATGGATCCCTCACTCTACTCAATCAAGAGGGGAAGGAATTCACAGTGAATGGGCATAGATGCAAGCCATATCTAGGAATGACCCCCACAGAGGAGATCATCACTCCTCTACAAGATCCAACCCCGGCCTAAAAGGGGTAAGGTCAAGCTATGAGACCTAAAACAAGCTCACTTGGGAGGAATTCCCATGTCTATCTTGTACATATTTCTTTATCTTTTATCTCTGTTTTTCTTGGCTAAGTCTTGCAGGACAGGTTTTAGGAAGGAAAGCAACTCGAGGCACAACTCGATCGAGCCAAGAGCAAGCTCGATCGAGTGAGGCGAACCCAGTCGAGTGGAGTGCTCCTGATGGCCGTCTCCCTCTCCAGACCACGACCTTGCCTCCCAGTTCTTTGGGGGGCACTGAGGTATCCAAACACCAACCCTTGTATATACCATTTCATATTTTCTTTGTTTTTTTTTTCTTGGTTTTGCCCTCTTGAATCTTTCACTAAATTTTTCTCACACAAGGGACTGTGTGATTTAAGTTTGGGGGAGGGTTCAAGAGATGATTTAACCTTGTTTTCTTTGTTCTTAGTTTTTCATTCTTTTGCATAGAAAAACCAAAAAAATCATAAAATTTTCAAAAAATCCAAAAATATTTTCATCTTTTTGCATTCATATTTGTTAGACTTGTTTAGGATTGCATTTTCACTTGCATTGTTGATTTGACTTTGAAAACTTGTTCATCATTTGCGATTTCTTGAGTGCCCTGTTTTTAGATTCTTTTGTGCATTAGGGTGAGATTGATTGAGCAGCAAGAACCATGTTTATCTTGATCATATCACTGCATGCACATCTCATTCAACCATTGCTGTGATTTGATGCATTTCCCTATCTATTTGAACCATAACTTGATCTTTAATTACCAATGCTTGCATTTGATTTCAACTCATGGCTACCACATACATATCTGGACATTCTTTACCTATTTTCATATCCCTTTGCTTGTCCAGATAGCTGATCTCTATCTTTGAGACAGTTACCACACCTTAAACCTAAGCCTTTTCATTTCAAACCCCATATTATCTCTTGTGCGAATGTGAGAACCTTTCTTGGCTTTGCTTAGCATAAGGTGTTGTGTTTAAACCGGCAGGGGCAGTAGTTCTAGTTGTCTAGTTCTCTTGGGATTGTTTTCAGGCTAAGTTTGGGGGTGCCAACTCGAGCTCGATCGAGTTGGGTGTAAAAACCAGAAAAGTGGTAAAAGTTGGGAAAACCCAAAGGAAAAAGAGTTTAGTTAAGTCCAGGGAGTTGGCAGTGTTAAAAAGGGTCTAGTAAAGGTTTGGGAAGTTAAAAAAGGAAGTAAAAAGGGTTCTAAGTAGAATGAAAAGAAGGCAAAGCCTCAAGTGTCAAAAAGAAAGAAAAGTTCCCTAAGTGTTTAGAAAATCCCAAACCGCTAGATGTTACCTCAAGAAGCCTCTCCCTAGGAAGTTCTTAAAAGAAAAGTGAGCAAAGCTCCTCAGTTTCAAAGGCGAAATGCCAAAAAGGGTAGTTAGGATTTTGTTCTAAAAAGCTCTAAGTGTTGAACTCGATCGAGTTAGGATTAGGCGGCTCGAGCTGCTGTTCTTGCATCATCTTTGGTTCTAACACTTAGCCTTCTGCCAAAGCAAAGCCACTTTCTTGAGAGATCCCTGTTACTAAACCACCATACAAAAGAGACCCTCTTTGTCTCTTAACCCATAAACCCTTGAAACCAAATGAGTTGATTGATCTTGCATGTTTTTGGTTCACTGTTTTTGCTTAATGAATGTTAAAGGGATTTGCTGATTTGAATGCATTGTTTGAGTGACTGTGAAGTGGGATTGATGTTGATAAGCATGGTTAAATCTTAATGAATATCTCTCACCTTGTTGCATTCTAGAATCTCTAAGTTGGACATTTAGCAAATCGCTTTTGAGGACATGTTTTTAAGTGTTGAATCACTGTTTTCAAACCTCATCTCTTTCTTGTTCTATTTGTTTGCTTGAGGGCAAGCAAAGTTCAAGTTTGGGGGTGTTGATGTACTTGCATTTTACATAGTTTTAGTACATCTTTTATGCATCTTTTGCATAGTTTTAGCATCCATTAGCATCATATCTTGTTCCTTTTCTCTTCTTATGCATTCATAGTAGTTTTAGGTTGCATTTGCATACATATGCATGTTTGGTCCTTTGAAATAGGTCTTTTGGAGCATTCTGGAGCATATGGGACAAGGAGCATGGAGGGACTTGGCACATGGACGCAGCTCAACTGGATACGCAAAGGAAGAAGGGAGAAGCCATCTTGAAGACCAGCTCGACCGTCTACTCGACCAACCGGTCGAGTTCCTCAACTCGACCGGCCAAGCTTCAACTCGATCGAGCTGAGAAGTCAAAGTCAAACCCGAAAAATGTTGCTTCCCCCTTGACTTTCCTTTGACCCTAAACCTAATCCTCTTGTATTTAAAGGCTAAAAGCCACGAAAAAACCACCAAGCTTTAGATTACTTTTGTTTTAGTTTCTTTTAATTTATTGTCTTTTACTTTTTAGAGCTCTAATCCCATCTTTGTGTTCTTGAAGCTCTTGCTTCTTGAATCCTAGATCCTGGATAATCTCTTTGTATTTGCACTTGCTTATTTCAATAAAAGTTGTTTATTTCATCTCCTCTTTCTTATGATGTCTCTTTTATTGCATTTGCTTGTGTTTACATTCATGTGTAGTGAGTAGTTACCCATTAGGGTTTGAGATGGGATAGATTAGAGGTTTCATATGCTTAATCCTTCTTAGCTTATGGTCTTAATCTAGATTCTCTCTCTTTTGGATAGATCTTAAGGCTACATGACCACTACCCCTGGCTTGTAAGTCCTTAGGCGATTCTCCACATGGAAGTGATGGAAATTCGCTGGAAAAGATCCACTAAGAGCTCCAATATCTCTTGCTCTAGAAATAGAGGTCTAAGGGGTTGGATGGATTAGTTTGGGCAATGATCCTATGGCCTCCAAGGTTTGATTCTCACTGGCTAACCCCCTGTTTCTGAGATCATTCCTTGGTTGATAGCCTCACCTTGGGAAAGGGTTGGCTAGGCATTGAGAAGCCCAATATCAAGAGAAGCCTTGATACAAGGAGTTTTAAGAGCTAGATGATTAAGTGTAGATTCCTTGATTGCAAAACCCTGTCTTGAACCCTAATTCTCGCTTTATCTTGTTAAAGTCGTGCCTTTAGCTTTTTTGTCTCAACTCGTCCCTAAACTCGATCGAGCTGGTACTTGTTCTGACTCGACTCGAGTCTTGGTCGAGCTGTACTTCACTGCTTTGTTTACTTTCTGCATTTGCATTTCTTTCATTTAGGTTGTTAGTGTTACTTCAAATCTATTACTGCTTGCTTGACTTTCTGTTGTTTCATATTCTCATAGAGTGACAAGTTTCCCATTTTGGATTGATAACCTCTTATACTTTGACTATGATGGTTAAGAGGAATTGATTGATTGTGATTGCACCATACCATTCATCTTTATTCACCCCTGTTTGCATTCCACCTCATATCTTATCACATCCACACAAAATCCTATCATCACAAACTCGATCGAGCTAGGTGAAAACAGAGTATAACCGAACCTAATTCAAGTAATAAGAGCTGGAAAGGATGCTAAGCAATCAAATTGAACCAAGAACACCAAGTAAATGGAACAATGAGCAATTCTAGTGAGAACCAAAGCATCTTAACCAATACCAAACTCAAATTCAATGTTTTAAACACATGCTACAAGTTTCAATGGTAAAACAGAGGTGAGGTGAGGCAATAATCACAAATTGATGATAGGATTTGTGTGTGGTGTGAAAGATATGAAATGAGATGTGGTGGAATGCAACAGTGGTATATGATGAGGTGGTAAGATGCAAACACAATCACAGTCAACAATTCCCTTTAACCATTATAGCATAAAGGGTATCAATCCAAAATGGGTGAAGTTGTCACTCTATGAGATTATGAAATAACCAGGAAGTCAAGCAAGCAGTAAATCATGTGGGGGTAACACTAACAACCTACTAAAACAGTAATGCAATGATAATAAGTAAATAAAGCAGTAAAGCAACAGCTCGACCAAGGACTCGAGTCGAGTGGGAACAGGGTAACCGAGCTCGATCGAGTTTAGGGTCGAGTTGAAGTAAAAAGCAATAAAGGCAGCGACTTTAACAAGCTAATGCGAGAATTAGGGTTCAAGACAGGGTTTTTCAACCAGGGGAAGCTACACTTAATCGATCTGCTCTTAAAACTCCTTGTACCAAGGTTTCTCTTGATATTGGGCTTCTCAATGCCTAGCTAACCCTTTCCCAAGGTGAAAGCTATCAACCAAGGAATGATCTCAGAAACAGGGGGTTAGCCAGTGAGAATCAAACCTTGGAGGCCATAGGATCATTGCCCAAACTAATCCATCCAACCCCTATGAACTCCATTTCGAGAGCAAGGTTATTGGAGCTCTTAGTGGATATTTTCCAGCGATTTCCATCACTTCCATGTGGAGAATCGCCTAATGACATACAAGCCAGGGGTAGTGGTCATGTAGCCTTAAGATTTATCCAAAAGAGAGAGAATCTAGATTAAGACCATAAGCAAGAAGGATTAAGCATATGAAACCCCTAATCTATCCCATCTCAAACCCTAATGGGTAACTACTCACTACACATGAATGTATGATATACCTCTATTTTACCTACTTTTTATGCTATTTTACTATGGTTTTCTAATGGTTTTCTAGTGGATTCTTGTGTTAAAAGGTAGTTTTTATGGATTTA